GCCATTGACCACCTTTCACAGAGGATGGCACACAGGTCCAGGCAGCAGAGGCGACCGCTCAGGTCCCAGATGGCCAAGCTGGTCACCAACCTGGGTCTCCTGACTCCAGACCCTTTGTTCTTGCTCGAGGAGCCAAGCCCAGTGACCTTCGGGAGACCCATCCTCCCTCCGTTCCTCCTTCTGACCTCCGTCTGTACCTTGCCCCCAGGTGCGCCTCCTGGCCCGGAGTTACGGGGTGAGGGTCCACCTGGACGGTGCCCGGCTGCTGAACGCCTCGGTGGCTCTGCATGTGCCTCCGGCCCACATCATGGAGCACTGTGACTCTGTGTCTCTCTGTTTCTCTAAGGTGGGAAGCCACTGGGCCACCCCCCAGACACAGGAGGGTGGGGGTGCCTGCAGCAGGAGGTGGAGTTGGGTTCCCCAGCTCCTGGGCTGGCAGCTGCTGAGCCTGAGCCCCGTTAACCCCTCCCCGGACTGGGCCACGGCATCTGCCCTTCCCCATCCCCTTCACGCCCCCTCTCCTGGCCCCTAGAACAGACAGGCACACCCAAGGGGCAAGTACCTCTTCTCTTCCTCCCAGGGCCTGGGTGCACCAGTGGGGGCCCTGGTTGGGGGGCCCAAGGACTTCATCGAAGAAGCCTGGCGCCTCCGGAAAGCCCTGGGCGGGGGCATGCGCCAGGCTGGGGTGCTGGCAGCGGCTGCCCTCGTGGGACTGGCTGATGCCGAAGAGGTGCTGCTGAGGGACCACCAGAATGCCCAGAGATTTGCCAAAGGTGCCTGGATTATGGCCCCCCGCCCTCACTTCCCTTTGGTCCCAGGGGAGTACCTTGGGGGTCCCCAGCAGCAGGGCCCAAATCCCCAGCAGTGTGCATCCTTCGACTCTAGAAGGGTGAAGGTTAGCCGCAGAGCCACTAGTAGTGGGATCCAGGGAACTAGAACCCTGGACCAGGCTGCCCCTGGTGCAGTGTGGGACCAGTCAGCGCTGAATGGGCATCAGTAATTCTTGCTCTCTGCAGACAGAATCCAGCAGAGTGGAGCCTCTAACTTGGGTCTTTACATACGTTAATTGAGTCCTCACAACAACCCCGTGATGTCCCTACTTTCCAAAAGAGGAAACTGAGGCCCAGAGAGGTTAACTGATTTGTCCAAGGTCATACAGCTAAAAAGTAGCAGAGCCCAGTCTGGGGACTCCAAAGGCCACGACAGGACTGAGAGTCCCTCTTTTGCTCCTGCCGTGGCTGAGCTGCCCTCGCCTTTCCTGGTGCAACAGGGCCGGGTGGTGGGTGCAGTAGTGGGGTCCCGCGGTCAGGCTCCACTCACCGCAGGACCTGGGCCCAGGACTCCAGGAACTGGCGTCCCCCATCTGCTCCGTGGATCTCGCCGCCGTGGAGACGAACATAGTGATGGTGAGGGTGAACGGGCTGCCACCCGAGGAGCTGTGCCGGCACCTGGAGGCCGTGAGCGCTGACGAGGTGGCCCAGACTGGCCGTGCCGTGCGCGTGCTGCTCTTCCCCTGGACGGAGCGGTCGGTGCGCGCCATGTGGCACCGTGACGTCTCGGCGCAGGACACCGAGCTGGCACTGAGGAAGTGGGGGTTTGTGCTGAGGCAGCTGGGCCCCTGAGGATGGAGTGACCGGACCCTGTGCCCAGCTAGGATCACAGCGAGGAGTGGAGGTGTCCCCAGGGAGCGGGCGGGAGAGGCACGACCCGGTCATCCACTCGTCTGCTTGGACCACTTTACCTCCCACGGCACTCAGGGCTAAGCTGCCACCCATGTTCCTCCAGCAAGCCCTGAGCGCTTGTGTCCCAGACAGGGCGCCCACGCATGCAGGGACGGCAGGACCCCATCCCAGCGCCCTCCCCACGGCCCGGGAGGCCACCACAGCAGGGCCTTTGCTCCCAGGGACAGAGGGGAGACTGCCCGAGCCCACGAGAGCGTCCTGTGCTCAGAGGCAGGCGAGGGCCGTCGGAAAGGGACATAGAGATGGTGGGAAGGGCGTCACCTGCCGTGGGAGGGGGCCGGGGCTTTATCTCGTAGTCGTCTAATACGTATTTACTTTTTTACAAAATAAAGTTTTCTGCCTATAAAATAATATGTCTTAATTGTAGAGAATTTGGGACTGGGTCTCATTTTTAGCAGCTCCTGGGGTAATTTCGGCAGACTCGGGGGTTAAGACCAACCTCCTGCTCAGGTGACCTAGAAGACCTGGACGAAGGACATTTTTAAAAGTCACCCAAGAATCACGTTTGTTAACGTTTGTGTGTATTTCGTTCTGGACACATATGTAAGCGTGCAGCCGAGTCTGTGTGCGTGCTTTAAGCAGCGAAGCTGTGCCATCACATGGGTGCTCTGAAGCCCCCAATGGGAGTCCCGGGAGGCGGCTCCGCATGGCTTGAGCGGTGACTTCAGTTTGAGAGGGTGAGGTTTGAGACCCAGGTGCACGCAGTTAGGAAGCTGCCAGAAACACAGGTTTGGCGCTCTGGAGAGGGCTGGCCTGAGGCACAGATGCGGGATGGCCGCGGGGTGGGAATCCTGACAGCGGTGCGGCCGGGTGTGCATGGGAGGAGAGAAGCGCCCTGTGGCAGGCCGAGGTGGCCTGAAGCAGAGCACCCTCCCGCGTCCCCTCCCGCCCATAGGAGGTTCTAGATCTATTCTCTGGGGGATGCAGCAGCTGGGGCTCCCCAAGGCCTCAGAACTGCTCTCCTGTGCTTGAGAATCAAAAGCCAGCCAGCAGCTCTGAACCTCTGTCGCTCTGCCCCTGCATGGCCCTGTCTGGGCAAGTGCCAGCACGTATACACCAAATGAGTTACCCATTGCCATGCGACATATCACCCCAAAACGTAGTGCCTTAAAACAGCAATAATCCTTAATCATTTCTCGTAGTTTCTGTAGGTTAGGAATTAGGGAGTGGCTTAGCTGAGCATCCTGGCTTGGCGCTTCTCACAAGGTTGCAGTGAAGACATCAGCTAGGGTGGCATTATGGGACTAACCCCCCTCCAAGGAGGCTCGCTTACACAGCCAGCATGTTTCAGGGGGCCCCGGTTCCTAGCTATGTGGGTGTCTTCACAACATGACGGCTGGCTCCCCAAGGGCGGGCAGTCTGAGACCGAGGCGGAAGATACCGTGCCTCGTATGACCTAGTCACACGCCGTCACCTCCGCAGGATTCTATTTGCCGTCCAGGTCGGCCCTAATTCCGTGTGGCAGGGGCCATACAAGCGATGAGTCCCCAAGACGAGGATTGCGGGGGTCCACCTTGGAGGAAGGCTACTCCATTTGTGGGTGCTGGCTGGGAGTAGGGCCTGAGTTCACAAGAGGCCCCTGTCCTGGGTGGGGGCACAGGTGGCATCAGAGGATAATAACCAGAGCCAGCCCACAGAATGACGCAGGCAAATGTACCAGAAGGAGGAGAGGCCAGAGGGCGTGGGAAGGAGGATGGGGTGGAGGGGGACCATCACTGAGGCAAGGGCTGTGACGACGCCAGAGCAGGAGGAAGAACATGGCCTGCTGGAGGCAGGGCCATCCTAGTCAGCTGCAAGGAACAGAGGCCCTGGGAGGCACTGCAAGTCAAGGATGGTGACTGTGGGACACGGTGTGCACTGGTAGGGACATCCACCTAGTGAGGGAATAGCTGGCCTGCTTCAGTCACTGTTGCCCCTCGTTCTGCTTAAGCACACCAGTCACTGGTCCTCAGGCACGCCCCCCGTTTTCTGTATTTCAGACCCCATAGGGCGAGGGGTGGTCCTTCCACAGCAGCAATAAGTGGCGTGGGAGCAGCCATACCACCAGCATTGCCTGTAGAGTGGATCCACAGGCTGTGGGGACAGACACACTGCAAGGGGCTGGCTCTGGTGCACTCTCACTCTCTCCTCTGGTTACAAGCAAATGCTGCACCACGTGAACCTGGTGTGTATCTGTGTCTGTTCTCGGCGACCTCAAATCATGCACTGGTCTCTCCCCTGGGCGGCACATACCTGCCTCATAACCTTGGCTGCACAGCCTGGCCACCCAGCGAACGATGAAACACTCACTGTGGAGGCTGGCCAATCGGAGAGTGAGGCACGTCCTGGCTGAGTCACACCCCCACTGGCATGTGGCCAGGCAGGTCTGTTCTAGAAGGGAAGGGGCAAGCGCCACACCCCTGCCCCCATGCCCTCCCTCAGGGAGTTCTGCGATCCCAGTGGCCACCCCATGTGTCTTTTCCAGTGTCCTGTTCCCAGAGCCCAAGCCCAGGTGCAGTCAGAGAGGCCCAGGGCGGAACTCTTGCACTCCGCATCCCCAACAAACCCACAGGAGAGGCCACTGTGGGGCTGAGGGGAGGGAAAAGTCAAGGGCGGGCCTCACAGGCTCAGAGGATCTGCCCACGAGGCCCCCGGATCCACCATGGAGGCCCCAGGAGTCCTCTCCTGCCTGGAAATGAGAAGGAGCTTGTCTCTGGATGGACCGCCACGCAGACATACACAGGACGTCTCTGGATGGACCGCCACGCAGACATACACAGGACGTCTCTGGATGGACCGACACGCAGACACACACACAGGACGTCTCTGGATGGACGGACACGCAGACGCACACACAGGATATCTCTGGATGGATGGACACGCAGACACACACAGCTAGGAGTGTTCTCACACTTGCACTGTCTGTAAGCTGTGGGCATGCATTATCTATTTCGAAAATCTTTAAGAAAGAAAAAGAACGGCTTATTCTGCATGCAGCACAAGCTGATTTATTAAGGACAATTTGGCACACCGTTATTGTGGAATGGTAAATGCTAAAACACGAGCAAGAAGGGAAGCCCCACACAGCACCCAGCACTGTGTCCCTCAGTGGGACCCCAAGATGGTGCCAGCCCCTGAGCCCTAGGAGCTTCCTGTAAGCTTTGAAGCAATAAAGGGAGACTGGGGAGGAGGGAGCCCAAGGCAGGAGAGGCAGCCATCTTCCCCAGCACACCCCAGACTCAGGGAGGCCCTGAGCCCGAAATGGGGCCGGTTGGGGCTTCAGGGACTGCACAGCCCCCCAGGCCCTTCTCCTCTGCCGCTCGACTTCTCTACCTACAGGCAGATGGGTGCACCTCAGTCTTCACAGACCCCAACAGCCTGGGGTGGGCTGGCCACCCACCTGCCCTCGGAAAGGGCCTGCAGGCCTGGGCCTACGAACTGAGCGCCACCCAGCCTGGGGCTTGGCCTCCATTCCATGAGCCTGCAGCCCGACCCCAGGCTGTGGCCTCCGCCCTCCAGGCAGCCCAGTCCCTCCTGGCTGAGAAGCCCTCCCCTGCACGGTGGCATGGCACCCCAGCCCACCACGGCTTCCACACCTGCTTCTTTGGGGCGCCCAGCCGGCCCCTGGCCCGTGCAGATACTCCCGGGGGGCTGCAGCCCGGAGGGTCGGGGTCCAGAGTGCCAGCCTGAAGGAGCAGCAGCGGCACCAGGTCTAGGACAGAGGCCTGAAAACAAGGCAGGGGGCAGAGGCGCATCCCGCCCATTCGGCTCCCCCTGTGCCTGCGAATCCAAGGGGCTCTCGGGCCCTCTCCTCACTCTCCTCTCCACCAGCACCTGCCCTCAGGGGTGAGTGGACAGAACAGAGGCCCAAAGGACATCTGGCTCTGCCATTTGCTCTGGGGTGGTCTGGGCCTCAGTCTTGCCTTCTGTGAAATGGGTGAATGGTAACCAGTGTGAAGGGCGACCAGCGGATTAGAGGAGGAGATGGGTGGGCAGGCCCAGCACTGCGCCCAGCATGGAGGGTGCTTAACGGGTACCTGCTTCTCCCTTGAACTCTCCCCTCTCCAGGACAGCGGGAGTGGCTCCAGCCGACCCAGGTCTCTAGGAATGGGGACAGCTCTGGCACACCAGGACTCATGAGGGGAGTGTAGGCCACGCACTCAAGAGGCAAGGAGGCCAGCTATGCCCCAGGGCCCTGCAGCACCCCCACCCCAATCCCCCCACTAACAATCCCTCAGGCCACTTGCTTCCTCTTTCTGGGACTCACTTTTCGAATCTCTAAGAGGAGCATAATGCGGCAGGGGAGCCCCCCAACATCAGGCTTTGCCTAACAAGAGATTCTTGGCTCTGTCCCCAGCCCCTGTTCACCCGCAGGACCCCCTCCCAGCCAGGCCGCTTCCGGCCGATCCCAGGAGATGCAAAGGGAAACCAGGACCCTCTCCTCCCCCACCTGCCGGCCTGGGACTCAGAGAACCACAGAGTGGGGGGTGCCCGGCGCCCGGCTCAGGCTGAGGGCTCGGGCGGCTGCAAGCAGGAGGGTGCCGCTGAGCGCCTCCAATGCACAGGAGCCCCAGGCCAGGGCCACAGACCAGCCGAAGCTGACACGGACGTGCTGCACGTGCCAGGGGCCGTACTGGCGCGTGGTCTCGGCGAAGGCCAGGTGTGAGTAGCTGATGTAGGTGCTGAGGCCTGCCACGGTCAGGGCACCTGGGGAGGGAGTGCAGGGGCCACTCAGCGTGTCTGCCTGCTGGGGACACCGCCCTACCCGTGACCCTGGCCAGGGTAGTGCTGTGGACACAGCCTCGGGAGGCCCTGCCCACTGGCCTTCAAGGGGAATGGAAGCTCCAACTCAGTCCTCAAACCCCAGGACCTCCCCCCAACAAAATCCCCTTGCAAACAGTACCACCGATACGCCCAACACATGGTCCCCACTCACATAACTGCCCCACGTACACAGCACCCTCTTGTATCCCCGGGAGTACCCAGAATACACGCGTGCGTACACACACACACACACACACACACACAGGCACAGGCACACACACAGACCGCCAGTGACCTCTACTGGCAGCTGGGGGTCTCTGGAGCTCTGACCTGGCGCCCTGAGCCAGTCCCCCGGCCTGCACCTCCGGCCCCCTCTTCCTCACAGCTCCCTCTCCTCACCCCACTGGCTGACCGCCCCCCTCCTCCTGGCCCAAGCCTCAGTGTGCCCCTTCCAGAAGCCCCCTCCCCAGCCCCAGGTCTGAGCTGCAGGCTCTTCCTCTCTGCTCTCATAACCCCTGCCCTTCCACAGACGACGACTCCCTCCTCCCTCAACTTTCTGAAGAAGCGCTCAGAGCTCTCCTCAAAGGACTGGCTTTGCCCAGGGTGCCAGTGCCGAGTGACCCTTCGTCCGGTGGTTCAGGAGCAAGCAGAGAGCTGAGCACTGGGACATTTTCCTGTCCCCCCCGGGTTCAGAAGGACCAACCAGAGCGCCACCCTCTGTCCCACGGCTGCAGGCTGACATCAGAGCCTGCCCTTGGTGCCAACTGTAGGGAATCTTGGCCAGGGCGGGTGGGTCCCGAGGCTCCATCAGTCACTTCTCAGGTGAGCACACTGCCCAGCCAAGGGCAGGAGGCTGACCAGAGCTGTCCTTCAGGGCCAGGTCTGGGTCTCACCGGGACCTAGAGAAGGGCCCCAGCCTTGAGGTCCCCATACTGCCTGAGTCTCACCCTGGTCCTCTGTGATTCCTCACTTGATCAAAGGTGAGAAGGAGTGGCGGGGTGGGGGGGGGGGGGGGGGGGACACACAGCTGCCAGTGCAGGCTGGGCCGAGCAGCAGCAGAGGTTAGGGACTTAATCTGGGGAAGGATGTGAAGCCAAATCAAGGGACGTGGGCTCTGGGACTGGGGTCGGCACTCAGCAGCAGGGCTGGCAGACACTTCTCGGGCTTCCTCAGGGAGCTCTCATGCAGCTGGGGCCCCAGAAACAGAGGCGGCTGTCTCAGCCTGCAGCTGTCAGAGCGCCTGGCCAAGTCTCCACTCTGCCCCCACCCCCCTGGCTTCCCCACCAGCTGAGCTCATCTCCAAGCCACCAGCTGCCTCCATCCAGCCTGGCTGAGGACAGGACCCACTGCTCTGCCATGGCACAGGGTGCAGAGTAAGCTCCCAAGCTGGACACCCCCATGTGGAGCCCCCAACTCTCCCTGGGGACAGGGAGCCCAGGTCTGGCCCCTGCCAGACCACTCTCTGAGCCTCAGACTTACTGACGCTCTCAAACATCCCCCTGGCCAGCACCGGAGCCTCAAGCTGGGCGATTGTAGTGAAACACATCACTCCAGGCCCTGTCCACGCACGTGCCCCACCAGGCTCCTATCTCAGGGAAGGGCACTCATCCATCCTTTGTCACCCTGGACCCCTCTGTGTCCCTCTCCCTTCTTGCAGTGCTGATGGAGGGGGGTGGGGTGAGCTGACCTCAGGCAGGTCCCCTTGGTGTGACCTTCCTGTCTTGGAGGCCCCAGACCTGGAGTGTCTGTTGACGCTCCCCCCTAACCCCGGGCCACCTGAGTGGGCTCCTGACAGTGATGTCAGCAAACCCATTTCCACGGAAACCCGTCCTGCAAGGAAGGCAGTGGTGCAGCGAGGGCAGCACGTGGGGCTTTCTTGGAAGCAGGCCAGCTGCCTGCTCTCGAGCTCCCCGGGGCCTTGGAGCAGGGGATGCCCCCCAGCAGCTGCCTCCAGACCCTCCCTCCGCCCACTGGCCGCCGCCTTGGTTCTGACACAATGCCAAGGTTTATGGCCATCACCAGTTTACCTGGTTCCAACCCCACCCAATTTCTCCTCGTGGTGGCTTCCCAAGGCCCCCTTAATTGGATTTTGGACACACAGACCGTCTCCGGGCTCAGGCTGCAGCTGACACTTTGATTTCTCCTGCTGTCATTCTCTAAACCAAACACCTAGGCTGCCAGTCCCCTGGCTCTTGGTGCCAGGCAGGCCCACCTACTCCCTCCCCAGCTCCTTCCCAGAGCAAGCAGGCCTGCCCAGGAGGGAGCCCCAGGCCCACGTGGTCTGGTCCTCGAGTGCCATTGCCGGGAAGGTAGGGCTGGCCTGGGACACAAGACTCAACTCAGGCCTGGCCCTGGATGGCAGGGGCCACTGAGGAATGACCCCAAGGAGCCAGCAGCCCACTGTCTTCGACAGCCAGCCTTGGACAACTGGGGACACTTGGTGGCTGGCTGGGGCAGGTGGCACCAAAAGGCAGTGAAGGGGACCCCTAGCCAAGCTTCCTGCAGACCTCAGCAAATTCTTGGACATCTCAACCAGAAGCTAAGACCACTGAGTGCCCGTGGCACACCATCGCATGAATCCCTGAGGGACCGCTTGGCCCAGCGCCCAGCACAGTCCAGATGAATGTCAGCTGATACACTGTTCCTAGTCACAGTCTGGACCTGGGTGGGGGTCACTGCCGAGGACTCTGAGGCCCCTTCTCACCCCATCTTCATGCCTGGCCCTGCCTGGCCAGTGCTAACCCCCTGCCTGCCCTTGCTGCTCCCACCAGGACTGCCTAGGGAGGAGAAGGGAGTGAATGGGGCCGGCCCCACCCCTGGTGCAGGTCCAAAAGGGCAGGTCCTGGGAGGGCCTCGGAGATCCCCGTGCCTCTTGAGCCTGGAAGCTCAACCCTGCGGCTGCCCCCATCCTGCTCGGAGCCCACAACCAGAGCCCCTGCCTCTGCCCCTCTGAAGGCCCCAGTGCCACCCAGGGTGCCTTTGCCTGCTGCAGCTCAGTCCCCAGGCTGGGCCCAGGCTTGGCGTAGCCCAGAGGGGAACCCACAGGGTGAAAAGAGAGGCAGCACCCCACTCCCAGGGCCTGCGACCCCCACAGCCCCCAGACTCACCCCCCAGCAAGAAGTAGCAGCCGGTGAAGAGCAGCAGAGGGACGCTCTGGGCCAGGGAGCTGAGGAGGCCGCAGACCCAGCCACACACGACAAGGACGAGGCTCAGGGGCAGAACCACCATGACGGCTCGGTGCAGCACTGTGGAGAGTGGGGCTCAGGGCGCGGGGGGGGGCCAGGACCTGCCCCTCAAGGCAGGTCCAGGTGAGTGCTTCAGAGCCCTGTCTGCATGAGGACCTTTGCAGGACACACAGGGCACCTTGGCCTTGGCCAGAGGAGGAGCTGGACCATCCACCTCCCTCCGATGCCCCTGTTTCCACGGTAACCACCTGACATTCCCAAGGGCCCTCTGATCCTGGCACAGGCTTCCTGAGGCCCAGGGTGAGGGAAGTTTCCCCAGCGCCCCCCCCCCCCACCTCCCAGCCTCCTCAGAGGAGCAGGCATGCCAGGTGGGAGATGCCCGCCAGGTAGACCCATTTGGAAAAATAAAGGAGAGTCCAGAAGGGGCACAGGGAGGGCAGGTAGGCTGGGGTCAGGTGCCTGTAGTCACAAGCCAATAGCGGAGCACGGGGGCTGTGGCCAGTCGACGGGAGTTTTCAGATATACATGGAAATGTCTTCTGGGAATGCAGGCTCTGGCTGGAAGTGGTTCTGCGGGTCTAGGATGAGGGCAGCTCTGATCCCAGCCCTGCCTGGAGATTAAGGGAGGAGGGCGGCGACTCACGGATGAGGTGCTGCACCGAGCTGGGGACGTCCAGGCCCTCACTGGCAAAGGGGTCGATCAGGGGGATGCAGCTGTTCTGCCCTAAAAAGCAGAAAAGATGCCAGCCTGGTGGGTTGGACACCCGTGGGGCCACCACCCACCCCGCACTTCTCGGAAATGCATTGTCCTGCAGGCATGCTTGAAGGCGTGCTCCCGTGCCCTGCCAGAGCCGAGGGGACTGACCAGTGACCACAGGGCCCTGTCAGAGTCTCTCCTGGAACTCGGAGTTGGGGCTCCAAATGGGTTTGGAGGGTCAAGAACTTCCATTTTGTTTACTTAATGTCTAATGTTTATTTACTGTCTAAAATTGCAAACATCCCAGAGAGGCTGGCCTTGGCACTCCCTCAGGCCAGGGTCCCCCAGCATGCTCGCACCTGGAGGTGAGGCTTCACCTGGACAGGGAAAAGGTGCATGTAACATGGGCTCTCTGACTTGTGCACACCCACCCATATGCACACCCACTGGCACACACGTGCACAAGTCGGGAGGGCTCTGGAGCGTTCAGCAGTCTGTCAAGTGAATGAAGGAACAGCTGAGTCCTTCCTCCTGAGATGCCCCGAGGAAGCCACCCCCCCACACACACATTCATAGTCACCTGCACACACGCACACACTCTCACAGACATGCTCACACTCACACACTCAGGTTTACATACACTCACACATTGATATTCACAGACACACCCATACACTCTCACACTGACGCGTGCTCACACACACATGCACACACGCTCACACGTACCCTGCCATCAGCGCTCATCCAGTGCAGGGGGAGCTGCCCAGGCTGGCTGTGAGGGCGGCAGCTGGGGGCACCGGGAAGCCCTCCAGCTTGCAGGCAGGTGCTGGGCCGTACTGAGGAACACCCTCCCCTCTCCTGTGCCCCGCAGCCTGTGCACAGGCTTGAAACGCATGTGATGCTCCTGCCTTCTGCCTGTGCACTGTCAGGCCATCAGGCGGCGCGGAAGCGAGGGCCTCGCCTCATGGCTGCGCCTGACAGGGAGTGGTGATAACGGGGCTGCGGGCCCAAACCCCAGGGACCGTAATTAGGAAACAACCCCTGGTCAGTTGGATGAGGAACCTGGCCTGCCCAGAGGCCCCCAGCTCCCACACCAGGCTTCCTGGGCCCACCCCCGCTCCACTCCATGCCCACGCCCTACAGATGAGCAGAGGCCCCTCTGCTGGGCCTGCCCAACACTTTCCTCCCTCATTCTTCCTGACCCCCCAGTCTTGGTTGCAGGTATCATTTTCTCCCCATCTGACAGACCAAGACCTGGAGGCTGAAGGGGGACAAGGTCCCGGGTCACTCGGCTGTGAGTGGCAGAGCCCGTGGGAGCCTCTGGTGACCTGCCATCTATCAAGTAGTGTGCTAAGGCTTCTAGCACAAGACAGGCCCCAATAGGTGAGGCCAGGGGAATGCCTGCGGGCTCCTGCTCTGGAAGCCTCTTTGGGTCCTTTTGGGGCCACCCAGAGTCCCCCTCACTTTTATTTCCCGCCCATGGCCTGGCTCTGAGCCCAAGTCCCTTCCTCCTCCAGCCCCACTGTCACCGCAGCATTTGCGGGGGCAGCCGAGAGACCCCAGAGGGCAGACACCCGGAGGAGGGGTGAGGGAGTGGGGAGTCCGAAGCAAAGGGATCGTGAGCGGAGGGGACGAGCGGGTGGTCACCCTTCCTGGGCGGCCGCGGTACCTTCGCAGATGCGCCAGAGCCCCGAGTGCGAGGACAGCTGCCCGGCGCGCCCCGTGTGGTTGCCGGCGTCTGCCACCTCCAGGATGTACCAGTAGTCGCTGGCCACGGCGGCGGCCAGCAGCGCGAAGCTGAGCAGCGCGCCCAGGGCGGCGGCCAGGAGCAGGGCACCCAGCCGGGCCATGCAGGGGGCGGGGTGCAGGGGCCCGAGGGGTGCGGGGGATGCAGCGGCCCCGGGAGTGGGGGCGGGAGAGCGGGTGGAAGGGAGTGCAGGGAGCCGAGGGGGCGGCAGGGAGTCGGGGATTGCAGGGGAGCCGGGGGCTCCGGAGAGTGGAGGGGAGTCAGGGAGTGAGGGGGTCCCCTGGAGAGTGAAGAAGCGGGAGAAGCCGAGGAAGAGCGGGAGGCGGGGACTTAGGGAGCCGGGAGAACCGCGGGAGTGGGAGAGTGGGGGGAGGGAGGGTTCCGGGGAGTGCAGAGAGCGGGGAACGGGGGTCTCGAGAGGCGGGGAGCGGGGAGCAGGGCCGGGGAGCGGGGAGCCGCGCGGGGAGCCGAGCGAGGCTCCTCTGGCCGCGGCGCCCCCTTTGCTGCTGAGCGCTGGCCTCGCGATGCCCCTCGGGCCGCAGGGAAATCGATCCCACCGCCGAGCTCGGGCCCCCGGAAAAGACGAGGAAGTCGCGCAGCCGCAGGGACAGCGCCGCAGACCTGGGTTCAAACCCCAGCGTCCCGACGAGCTGACCGTGGGTCCCTGGGCAAATTTCTTAATCTCTCCAAACCTTCGGCTCTTCAGCCGCCGAGGGGCTGGGCTGAGGAGGCATATGGGGAGGCGGGGGGAGCCTGAACGGGCCCCAGGAGGGGGCTCAGCTGGTGGCAGGTCGGCTGCCCTGGTGCTGGGGCACTGAGCCGCTGACTGGCCCCCGTCCTGGTCTTCATCAGTCTCCAGGACCAACCAGAGGGCTCTGGTGAAGTGGGGTGGGTGGGCAAAGGGCCTGGCGGGGCTAGCAAGGGGGCTACAGGAGGAAGAAGTCTTGCTTCCCATTAGCTCCTAATTACAAAAGCCGCATGGGGCAGGCAGGCCCCTGTTGGTCCACCACTCACTCAACAAACATGCAAGAAGCACCTTCTGGGACAGGTGTCAGACACTAGAGGGGTGGGAGGCAGAGGAGCCACAGAGAGGCCCCCACCCAGGAGCAGGCAGTGACACACATGGAGGTGACAGGCTGGGGCTGTCATGGTGGGCCTGTCTGGGGTTCAATCTTGGGCAATGGGAAGGCCTCCTCTCCAGGTCCCTTGACCAGCTGTTGCTGCCCACCCCCCACCCCCCCAACCCCCCAGACTGGGCGCAGACAGCGCAGAGGGTGAGCTCCACATCCTCACCAAGGGGGCCCTTCTGGGTTGAAGCAGCTTCGTGGCTTAGGGTCATCCTGGGGCTCTCCTTTCAGAGGGTTTGTTTCGGCCCCCTGTTCTTCCAGCAGGCTCTTCTTGTTTTGAGGAGTACAGTCAGGAAGCAAAAGCAATCGTAGCAAAGTTGTTGGAACAGTACTTCAAACAGCATTCAGACAGCGGCATGGAATTCAGTGGATATGGTGCAGACCGTCCATCTTGCCACACACTGCACCTGAGGCTGGCTTGGGGCACTCAGCGGGCCCCGGGGCTTCCGGCTGCCTCAGTCCCCACAGCTCTGCCCCCAACCCTTGCTCTGGAAGCTGGGCGGCAGCTAGGGACCCTTCTTTCTCCAGCGGCATTGGGCCCAGAAGGTGAAAGAATTCAGCAGGCAGGCAGGGAAAAGCAGGTGCTCAGGGAGCAGCAGCCACCTACGAAAGCAGGAGGGGTGGAGGGAGAGAGGCTGGGGAGGGGCCCTGCTGGAGAATGGCAGGGGATCCGAAGCGGCTGGGAACGAAGCATGCATGATGACCCGAACGCTTCTCCCACAATGTGGCAAGGATCAATATTGCTCTAGTTCGGTCAAAACCTTTTGTGTGTGTTTAAGGTTTGAACCGAAAGACTGTGTTCAGGGGGAACTAGAGGACCCCGTTTTTGGCCGCCTGCTCCACAGCCTTCCTCCCAGTGACCCCCTGCCTCTTGACCTGAGCTTTTGTGAAAGGGTCTCCTCTGCCCCCCTGTGAAGCTTAAACAGAACAGGATTCCGCTGTCAGGGCCAGCGAGGGGTGCTGTCTGAGGCCACACGTCTCCAGAGAGGAAGACACAGATTCCCCTTGTGTTGCAGTGTGGAAGGCTGGTAGCAGTCTACACCCCACATGCTTCAAAGCTCTGGCTCAGTGTTTTAAACCCCAGATGTAGAGTCGGAGCCACTGATAGGGTTGTCCCCTAGGCGGCAGGCGCTGTCCTCGAGGGGCAACGTTGAATTCCGCTAAACTGCTTCCCTTGAGATGGACCCAAATTATACTGTTGCCCAGTTCCGAAAAGGGGCCACTGCAGAGTGGCCCATTTTCATTACTCATCCTCCTTTCATCAACTTGTAACCGGTAACGAGAGCCGTTGGTGGGCCACTTGGCAAGCACCAAGCCATCTCCAGGCTGTCAGGGCCTCTTCACAGCCAGCACGAGACCACTACCGCCAAAATCAGGGGCAGGAGTGATCTTTTGATGGAAGAAACTCCAATTGTAAGTGACAAAAAACAGAGCTGCACAAGCCTCTTTTCTTTAAACTTAATTCAGCTAACTCGTCAGCAGCTGGAAGGACGGGATGCCTGGCCCCAGCAATGGCCCCAGCGATGGCCCCAGGGCAGATGAGACTCCTGCTCCAGGTGATGACACAGCCTCCAGCGCAGGGCTGGGGAGGCAGCTGAAAGCGCTGGTGACACTGTCAGAGCAGCTCAGCGTCGGCTACACGACTCCTCTCGCTGGAGGTGGCAGGCACCCTCCCACAGAAAATGAACCTTACTAACTCAGCCAACAGGTCAGCCCGTCCACTCAGGGGCTGTGTGAAGAGAATTCATCCTGGTGAACGCCGAAACTCTGTCCATGTCAAAACCAGCCATGCTACAGGGGCCGCAAATGGCTGAGGTCGTAGGCTGGGACCGTCTGCCTTTTACCCTGACCTGGATGGCCCATATCCTGTGAGACGTGGCCCTGATCAGGAGGCCGCTCATTCCCAAGCCGGTCAGCCTCATTCCCAAGAACTCATTGGTCTATGAAGGGCTCGTCAGGGCCCCCTCGGACTTGCCAGCATCTGTCCAGTGAGCCTGGCAACCTCTGACAGGGCTCTGCTAATAGGGAAACTGGAAGGTGCCACCGATGCCACATCACAGAGTGCACCTCTGTGCCCCCAGCATGGCGCATCTTTCCCATCCCGGTTCCCCTGGCAGCCTCCTCCTTGCTCCTGGACAAACAGAAGCTCCATTCTTCCTGTTGCAGCCTGAGGCAGAGTTCACGGTTGTCTTCTCAGTGCTCCTGAGTGTGGATGCTCACCACACTCACATGGCTATTTGTTGGGCTTTGTCTTCCCACCATTCAGAAGACAAGACCCCCGTGAGCCCACTGTGGGAGACTGAGTCCTCTCTGGGCTTCAGTTCCTGCACGCACCACCCAGCGCACAGTAGCTACTCAAGCAAGTATCTGAGTGAACAAATGGATGGATAAATGTCACCTTGGGGATCAGGTGGAAAATAACCACAGGAGCTAAGGCCCCAGCCTGGCCCAGTCAGCTGAAGACAGGCTCGAGTGCTGTAGGCTGAGCCCAGGGGAAAGCACAGCTGCTGCTCAGGTGGTTCTTTGCTTTAAGAGCTCGATTCCCCCAGGGCGAGCCAAGAAACCCTCGTGAGGGCGAAGCGGCTCAGGGCAAGGCAGCTGCACGACTCAGCGCCTTCTCAGCTCAGACCTCAGAGGCTGACAGCGAGCGCAGGCGCTGTACTGTGGGTACAACGGGGAGAACCTAGCAAAGGGTGCACGGGACCCCTCTGGACTGGCTTACAACTCTTGTGAATCTTAGTTCAAAATAAAGTGACAATGCTGTACCGTGAGGACCAATGGAAGCCTCGGGGAGGCAGGTTTCTGTTCCATGTAATGAAGGCCTTTCTGACAACACTGTCTGAAAAATGGGAGGGGGACGTTTTCAAGATGGCCCTCACTCCCTGGAGTCAGGCAGTTGACTGCGGCCGCCCCTCGAGGCTGGGCAGTGTTGGCAAGAGGTGAGGGCCTAGCTCTGGGGCCAGACTCCCTGGGTTCAAATCCCAACCCTAACACTCACTAACTGAATGTTCTTGGACAGCCATTTCACCCCTTTACAAGTCTCCACTTCTGCACCCAAAACATGCAGCTAGGATCACATTAGACTTTATTGGCAGTTGTTGAGTTATTCTTTTTAAGTGAGTACAACCTGCAAAAAAATGGTCAGCATCCCGAGGGTGCCAACCTGCCGGCAACAGCTGGCTGATGGCTCCATTCTTGACGTCTCTCCCTTCCAGTCAGGCTGCCCCCCAGTCCTTCACCCCACTGGAGACCGGGGGAGGTTGTGATGCCCGAGGCTGGCCCTTGGGGCTCTAACCTCCCCTGACATGGTCACACCTGACGTGGCAGCCTGAGAATCACCCTGCCCACCTGACAGCCCATAACCACCCATTTCCGACCCTTTCCACTCCCACCTGACTTGGAGAACCTGAGAAGTGGACACACATTCGAAAGAAGGTCGAGGCTGTTGCCCTTAGCAAAGGCCTGAGCTTGATGAGTGATGTCTGTTAAGCGTTCCGACGCAGGCCGTCCCTAAGGTCCAGTGATAATAAGCTTCTAGAAGAGGAAATGTGCAAGATGGACTGAGGGGCCAGCTCCAGCTCAGCCTTGCTCCAGAGTGCAGCCTGACAAAGTGAGAGAAAACTGCATTGTTAACCATTGTGCGAAAGAACTGAGGACAAAACCTTTTTCTCTCAGCCCCTCCACAAAGCCAGTTTGTATGGACCAGTTATTAAAGTGAAGTATCCATCCAAAGACTGGCACAAATACCAAAAATAAGCAGCTCAGATGAGTATAGAGGCTGGAGTGCTTTTTTATCCCCTAACAAAAACCACTCCAATGTTCTCCAAGCTTAGAGGGAAAAATACATTTCACTCTTTGAGATGTGGGAGAAAATTGAAGTCTGAGGTGCATTTTTCACAGCTGGTTTATACATGGAATGAGCCCAGATGAATAGACGGGTTGGCCCTCCAGTGGCTCTTGCAAAGGAGCCCGAGGCTGGCTTTGTCTCTGCAAGAGCACGTCCCTCCCCCGCAACTGTCTGGGCGGAAGGATCAGCTGGCAGGCTGAGAAGGGACCACCACAAGGAGCCAACAGTGTTTAAAAAGCCCATAGGATCTGCAGCAGGGTTTGAAATGGAACAGTTTTTATTTTTCAGAAATGACAAAGATGACCTCCAGGTTTCCAATAGGACTGTAACAACCACCCTGCAGATTAACTTCATGGACGGTGACATCGAATCTGTCCTCCTCCTGCCAGGCTCCAGCCCTGCTTGAGTTGGCCTCAGGGAGGGAGGGAGCGGGGTCACCAGCACCCAGCCCATGACGTGGAGAATGTGACAGATATGGAGAAGCCGATAGCAGTAATGCAGACTAGGGGAACCAGGGCTGACAGATCACCTGCAGGAGCCCACCCAGTGCCCACAGCTCTGAGCTAAGTCATTTAAAAAGGATCCAGGCTGCTGCGATGTTCCCGGGGAGGGAGCAAGCAGTGTGCACCCCACGGCTCACCAGGGCTGTCCAACGCGGCAACAGCACAAATGAATTTCTGTTAGATGATCATTCCTGCTAGCCTGTCTCCAAACTCACCTAAGGTTCACACTGGCCCCAATGACTCAGAATGGCTTTATGCTCACTTTTAATTGTAGTTTGTGCTGTTCTGTGAAATAATAACTCAAACAAAATAAGAAAACGACACTGCAGAAGCTTAGGGGCTGAGACTGTCTCGATTCCCTTCCTCATCACACAAGTCATTTACTCCACCTACAATAAAAGCCAGCTGAGGCCGAACAGGGTTTATGACCCCTGTGTTACAGATGAGGAAACAGTAGCTCTGATTAAACAAGGGAACAAGGGCCGGTCCCAAGGCCACAAGGACGCATCCTGTTAGAGAGGGCCCCGGGCGGGTGTCCCAGAGCCCCTTTTTTATTATGACTGCTCAAACCCTTTGTTAGTCCATGCCGGGGTTGACGCTCACATATCACTGAATTTATGATCTTGTAAGATTGCAAACAATATAAACAAGTTATCTATTTTTTTAAAAAGTTCCTAAGAAGAGAAAGGTTTTCCAGTCCACTTTTTAAATGAATTTATTCCATTGCCCTCCTTTAGGAGAGTCACATTAGAAAGACAGGTGAATTACCAGCCACCTAGGCCACATCAATAACGGGAAATAGCTGTCGGCAGAGCACTGACAATATTAAGACCAGGAGCTGCTCAGAGGTGTTTCCCATGCCACTCGTGCCCGCCACATCTGTGAATGACAGCTCCCCCAGAGCGGGCTCCCCAGGAAGAAGCCGCTCTGACTGGGGACCCTTCTGACTCAGGAGAGGATGCAGCAGTGAGCCGGACCTCTGGAAAATGCCTTGTCTGGTATTGAGGACCCTTTCCTCATCTGTTTTAGAGAAATGTGGCAACCTTGCCATGTGCCCAGTGGGTAAAGAAGTATCTTCAACTGACCTCAAAGCAAGACATCAGCTCGAGACATAAGCCCTGCTCTGCGCCACCCCGCCACTCACGCTCCAGTCATGGCAGGAGCTCACCCCACGCCAGGCCCCGCGGCAGAGCCTGCGGTTTCATCCCAGTAGTTCTCCGTCTGAGAGCTCGAAGGTTACAAAACGCCAGGACAGGCAAGGGGCTGCCTGCACACACACAGCACTGCCAGAGGCTCGGCAGGGAGGTGATTTCAGACGATCCACTTTGGAGCAAAGGGAGGCTGTTGTAATGCCAGACCTGACGGGTGCAAGGATGGTCACAGACGTGCAGATGTCAAAGCGAGCTAATACAGAGTATTTGGAACACAGAAATGCACACTATAAACTTAGATTATTACACAAATAAAATTTAAAATGGTATCCTTAATTCTTTGCCCAGTCACAATGGACCTAGGATCACATTCACGAATTGAATCTCGGGCTTGACAGCCACAAGCCAACGTGAAGCCCAGACATGTCAATAGAGCAAAAACTAGCCAAGAAAAAAGAGAGACTCCGTCACTGGACTCAGCAGCACCAGCTGTACAACGAAGGAGCCCCTGGGAACACTTTCAAGGAACAACGACACTACAGGTTAAATATTCTAATTTCAAAATGCTGACGTCCTCCTTCCCTAAGGCACCGCTAAGGGGCCCCACAGAAAAGTCAGTAACACCGGGGAAGGTGCTTGAAGTGAGGTCCCACTGTGGGACCCGCAAATATGCGGAGGCGTCACTCCAAGGCAGCCAGCTGCTCAATGGCATAGCGAACTTTCTTTGCAGTTTCTTCAAATTCTTTCTGCTTATTGTTGGTTTCCTTTGCCTGGAAATAAAGAACAGACACATGAAATGGAAACTCTAGCCATGCTGGAGTTGAGACACCCAGCTATATGAGGTCACTATCCTGATTCTCTCACTTAAGCTCCCTCCTAATAATTGTAACAATAGAGAACATTTATGGAACACCTTGCATGTACCGAGCACCCTTCCACCTGCTTCACACATCAGCTCATGTATTGCTCAGCATCCCCATCACACAGATGAGGAAACTGAGGCCAGAAGCACCCTGCTCAGGGTCACCCAGCTGCCCATGGCAGAGCCGTGCTCTCGACCACCCCACATGCTCCTGAAGCTGCTGCGGAAAGGCCCAGAGCCCCCTCCTCTTGTCCCGTTAAAGAGAAACTGCCTAGCATCAGCTTTTTCCTGAAACAGGAAAAATTCTGTCACTTCCAGTCACTCCCTGAATGTGGCTTCCAAGCTTTTCACTCTGCTAAACGCTCCCTCCAGAGGGACAATGACAATCACGTTAGCAAATCCAGGGCCCTCCCTCCCTCCCCTCATTTTTATTCTCCTTGACTTCTCTGCCACATTAAAAAACAAACAAAATACCTTATTGGGTTAAATTTGTTTTCTAATAAGAAAAACAATAGAGGTTCACTTTTTAAAAATTACTTTTTAATGTGTATTTGTGTATCTTAAATTTTGCCCCAGGTGTAAGGCTCACTTTTTAAAAGTGAATTAAAAAATAGTACATTGACAAGAAACAGGGCAACAGCACCTAACAAATAATGGTGCATCTTGTAAAGGAAACTCCACAGCCCCCGAGAGTCTCGTCTTTATTGGTATGAAAAGATGACCACGGCCTTTTAAAATATACTTATTTACTTTTTTCTTCTCTTTCAAAAGGCCTGAAATTAATTAAGCCCCTATGTACACAGGCCCCAATTTAACCACAACATGGAGGTCCACATCTTCATGTCACACATTTTCTAATCAAGGGGCAGAATCAAAGACAAGATGCTCACCACTAGAAACATAGCCCAGCGCCCCGAGCAGGACTCCTGCCGTCCGGGGCTTGTGACTCAGCTCTCCTTCCATGACTCCACTTGCTCCTCGTCACAGCTGCTCACAAATTCGAGTCTTACACAGAAGCAAGTTTCTCTGCTTGTTCCCATATTGAGTTTATCCCCAGAACTGATTTATTTTCAAATTGGCTCTAATTAATTTCATTCTTTTCAAGAGACGGAGGGCATGAAGCAGCAGCAAGAACCAAGTCACGAGCACAAGGTATGCCCCCGGTCAGCCCCACAGCCTGCTCTCTACCACCTGGCACCCATGCCCAGCATCAGGGCCCAGCGGGCGGCTTGATCGGCGATCCTGTCACACTGACTGGCAGCAGCATCTCACGCTGAAATCCGGGCTCTCAGAAATCACAGCATCACGACAAACACCGCCATTCATTCCTTGTCTTCAGTATTTGAATACAACACGTGAGTACATTATCTGGTGTTGTCAACAATGTCTGGTAAACGATTGTTTTACACTGTGTACCACCATTACACAGCTGGTTGAATAAACGGAAGAAACGGTTTCAAGTACCAGCCCCCAACCATACGGACCCCTGCCAAGCAGACGAGGCACGCGTGCCAGCCCCTCCAGGAGTGAGGCGCCCAGCGCCCACCGCCCACCCGCTGCTCCAGCGTGAAGTGGACAGGCCTCTGGTCACGCCCATTCCTGCACTGGGCTCTGACCCCAGACCTTCCCATCCATTCACATGGGAGAGCGCATGGGGACACAAGGGGACCTGAGTTTTTATATTAGCGATAAACTATTTGCAACAAACCCCACAATTGCTTGGCACTCTAGAGCAGCTGTGTGCCACAGAACTTCCTGCAGTGACAAAAATGTTCTATCATTTGCACCCCCAACAGCAGCCACCCACCACGTGGAGCCACAGAGCAGGTAAAATGCTGCTAGTGCAACCGAAGACCCGACTTGTACGTTTTATTTCATTTAGTAGCTGCAGTACTGGACAGCGCAGATCGAGGACATCACGACAGCTCAGCCGAGTGCCGCTGACTTACGGAAAAGCTTTCTGCTGCATAAGTTTTATAAACCAATTAAGGAAAGTATGAATAGCTTAAACTTTCTATTCTTCTTTAAAATACATAAATTTTTAAATGAACTGGAAGGAAATACACAAAACAGTTAACAGTGGTCACCCCTAGCGTAGGGGTGGAGCTTCTGATTCTTCCTTATAGAAGCTTTTATTGTCTGTTTTGTAATTTAGGTAATGAAAACAATGCCTAATTTTAAAGTATTCTGCATTCTGACTTGGGAAAAACAAAAAACAGCTGTAAAACGAAAGCAAAACACTTTGTTCCAGTCTCCCCACTGTTCTCATGGGAGTGTCTACTCCTGGTTCCAGTCTGGTTCCGGCCCCACTGCTGTGCACCCAGGGGACGGAGACCAAGCCCCTTCTGGTGGGTTTCCTGCTCCAAGCAGTCCTTCTGAGTCATTCTCCCAGCACAGGCCGACAGGGCCCACCGCCCTGGGCCGCTATTCTGGGACCGGATCGTCAGCTGCACAGCCCTCCAGTCTGCTGCGCTCCCTAAAGGCCCCCCTCTCTCGCTGTCAGGACCCGGCTTCAGCCACCGTGCTCCACCCTCCGCCTTCCTCCTGTTCGCGCAGGCACAGCTTTCTCATGACTCTTCCTAAGCATTCAGGCTGGTCTCTCACCTAGAAGGAGGTCGGCAAACCGCAGCGTGCAGGACACAGCCAGCCAGCCACCGCCTGTTTTTCCTACAGCTACTGGGCTAAGAATGGTTTTTACATTTTTAAACAGTTATGGGGGAAAAAAAGCCACAAGGAATAATATCTAACAGAAACTACGTGGCCCATGAAGGCTAAAGTACCATCTGTGGCACTTTACAGAAAGTGTGCTGACCCCTGACCCAGAAGGCTCTCCTTTCCCACTTCCCAGCTGCAACACTGCAGCTCCCAAGACCTCCATGGAGCAAACTCGTTGCACCGACCACCGATTCTTTGCCCCTTCCTGACAAAAATAAATAAATGCTGAGGACAAAGTAGGTTTATTTATTTATTTTGAGGAAGATCAGCCCTGAGCTAACATCTGCTGCTAATCCTCCTCTTTTTGCTGAGGAAGACTGGCCCTGAGCTAACATCCATGCCCATCTTCCTCCACTTTATATGTGGGATGCCTGCCACAGCATGGCTTGATAAGCAGTGCCATGTCCGCACTCGGGATCCCAACCAGCAAACCCTGGGCCACTGAAGTGGAATGTGCAAACTTAACAGCTGTGCCACTGGGCTGGCCCCTGTCCTTAGCATTTAAAATCTACTATATTGGACAGAATTATTTTATATTGATCTCTAAAAAGCAACACAATTTTCAAGCCGAAAAGGACCTCAGAAACCAGGGGGATCTATCCTCCATTTTACAGTAAGGAAAGTGCAACCAAGACTGGCCTAAAGTCACAAAGTCTGTGCATGGCAGAGACACAACCAGGACATCTCGACTCTCTGCCCAGTGCTTTGCCACAAGGATGTCAAACACGTGAGTATTTATTCTCAGGAGGGCTGCCAGATTTAGCAAATAGAAACAGGATGCTGAGTTAAATTTGAACTTCATATAAACGAGCGATTGTTCAGTAAACACCCATACAAAATGTGAGATATAGGAAGAAATTACTCCTTGTGTACCTGAAATTCAGATTCAACCGGGGGTCCTGCTTTGCTCTGGCAACCCTAATTCTCTACAGCCAGGCTGCCTGAGAGCCACTTCTTTGCGGCCTCACTCTCCCAGTAGCCCAGTGCGCCTGCCCCAGAGTTGAAGTTCACCCGCAGAAATCCCATCACAATCCAGTGGGACTTGGGCCTCCTTTCCCAGTACGTATAACGCCCCTTCCTCAATACGTGTCCCCGCTCTCTTCCTACCACTGCCAACACACGAACACACACCATACAAATGCCCTCCCATCTCAACTGTCGCGGAAGGCAGGAACGCCAGCCTAACCAGAGGTGACCTCACACCGGGCAAACCTTTCCCAAGGAGACGCGTTTTCCTGACTGCACAACCCCAGACCACACTCCAGGACAGATGCTTTTCTGTCCTTGAACGCTACGTCCTCACATACACATGTGAGGAGCTTAAAAAGCGCTCACTGAGGAAACCAGAGTCCACCCAGTGTTTGCGAGGGGCAGGGGTGCAGCGTCAAAGACGCTGGACAGGATTTGCTCCTGGTTCTTATTCCCAGTAATACATACAATTTTGTTCTTGGCTCTTTCTTTGTCCAGTTTCAAAAATTCACTGAGGGTTAATTCTTCAAACTGCTTCTTGACAGACAGGAAAGCACAGCCGGATGAATGCTTTTTATGTTCCTCTCTAGAAAAATCAACACAGGTGCATGTCAACAGAGAAAATCAGTAAAGGGAGAGGAGCAGAGCTCGTCACCAACAGTCCCCCCATCACCACCCCCAGGCACACGGACACACTGTCCTCTGCTCTAAGAGCAAAGTGTGAAGTCTGCAGCAGACGGAACAGTGCTGGGTCCCAAGCCACATCCCCACACAGCTCGTCTTAGCACCTTCTCCCCCTGTGGACGTCGCTCCCCATGTCCTTGTGGCTGATGTACTTTATCTGGAGTCCTTTAGCAATTAGGAGGAAGAGTGTTACATGGAGTAAGTCCAGAGGTATCGCATGTCAAATCCTCCAGAAACTGCAGTAACCTCATTGCACTGGAATTGTGAGATAACCTGCTGGTGCACAATAAGGGCACCAGCGGCCAGGCTTCTCCCCCACACTCCTCTGCCTCACACCATCCTTCTCTGCGTTGGGAATCACCTCTGCACAGTGGACAGCACTGTCACCAGGACAGTAGTGAACGACCACACAGCCACACAAAGTCCAAAAGGACAGCCAAGAGTAACTATCATCTGAAAATACTACAGCCCCTAGAAACTCACTCCCAAGAACACAGAGATCCCCGTCAATACCAGATCACAAAGCAAAGATATGAGGGAAAACAGCAACACTCTTCTGGCCAAGAAGAGAAACAACTCAGGGGATTCTCGAGGGGAAAAAATGAAAGTTGTGGAAGCACTTGATTCTGACAGGGGGAAAAAAGGTGAGAACAGAATGTGGCACTACATTACAGAAAGACAGCTACCGTGTCTATCTGACTGTATACAACACAATTAAAAAAAAATAACTAGGTGCCTTATAGAACAAAATCCAAAACAACACTGAAGTGTACCACTTTAAAAGGGTGGTGTTTGTGGCGTGTGAATTATAGTTTGAGAAAGCTTTAGATTTAAAAACTCTAAAACAAGAAAAGCACCTGGACATTCCTAGGTCACAAGAGGACCTGCTCCTGAATTCTGGCGAACGGGAAAGGCATCAAGTAGCTACAAGAAGGAGACTTTCTTCAACATCCATCCTGAAGGACATTTGGCCAAATCAGGTTTGATTCGGTCGAAAGCGTCACCAAGGCGCCAGCACACAGAGAATCATCCATTAGCAACAGCTGGTTAGGGCACCAAAGGAGCTTGTGGCTCCCTCGCTAAGTGTCTTTGAAATCCGGATAGTTTTCCGGAGCCCAGCTCAAAACAGAAGCTCCCGGAAGCCCAGCGAGGCCGGCCTGGAGGACTTACATGGGGTCGTCATCTGGCTCCCAGCCTTCCAGCTCCTTGAAGCAGAAGAAACACTGCGCCAAGTCGGGCTCGTTCTCAGTGGGACAGTGGATGAAGCCGGCCGCCGCCATCTGCAAAGGAGAGCGCGGATCAGGCCCCGGCGGGGCGCGTCCCGAGCCTCCAGGTCCTGGCCCGCCACGGAGGGACCGGAGCCCCGCGGGAAGGGCCACCCTGGGTCCCCGGAGCCTCGCTGGGGGGTCGCCGCGGGGCGGGCCTCTGGGTGGGGTGGGGCTGGGGGCCCCGGGAGGCCGCGCAGTCTCACCCGCTCCGGAGTGCAGGCGCAGCCCTCCAAGAAGGGCCAGTTCTTGAAGGTAGAGACGCGGTGGTCCTTGAGATACAGCTGCCAGGCTGGGGGCAACGACGGGGCGCCCATCCCGCGGCCGCCGAGCGCTGCCGCGATTCAAATCCGGCGGTTGGCGGCCACCGCGGGGCATGTCGGGAACGCCCCGCCCCGGAGCTCGCCGCCCGCAGCCTTCTGGGAATGCAAGGCTGGGCGGCGCGGAGCCTGCTGGGAGTTGTAGTCCTCCGGTCGGGTGGTGCTGTTCGCGGGGTGCGGAACGGCGGTCGCCCAGCGCTCGCAGGTTTCCACAGTTAGCGCTTCCCCGACTGCTTGCGAGAGTGGTGGGAAGAGGAGTTGAGGATGAGCTGAAGTCCCCGTAATGGGTTCAAAGAGTGGCCCCTGTCGAGCGCATACGTGTTAAGCCCTTTCAGCCTGCAAACTCTCGTTAGTGTTTTTATGGGCGCCCCACTGCTGGAAACCCCTAGTGCCAGCTTCCTCTGCCCTTGTGCCGGCCAGGTTAGGATGTGTGCTGATCACATCGGTCTAGAGACCCCGGCATCCCCCAGAGGGAAGATGTCACATAGCTGAAATCCACAGCTAAACCTCCACCCTCTCTGGTCTCTTCTTTTATCAAGCCTTCTCGCTGAAGCTTCTTGGAAGTCCAGAAATCGACCCTTGGACCTTTGCCCTTCCCTTTCCACCAGAATTCCTCCGGAAATAGATATCCCTCCAGGTCAATAGCTAGAACTTAACTATGCCGCAATGGCAGCACAGCTTCCAGATGTGAACAAACTCCTGCTTATTCCACCATGCCCCTTCGGCCGGGCTTTTAGGTATCCTGTTGTGCTGTACAAATGATGCTACAGCAAATACATCGTATAAATATCCTTGTGTCCTGGTACTTTTGCTTCCATGGGCTTGATTTCTAAAAGTGGATTCCTAAGTCGAATGTGAGTTTAAAATGTTAGTACCTAGTGCCAGGTGACTTTCCAAAAAGCTGCAGCAGAGCTCATACCCGTCTGCTGTGCCCGTTCCCTTGCCCCGACTCTGCCAAGTGTACTTTGACATAGGTATCTACTGAGTTGTCCTTTTTTTTCTTATCAATTTTTAGGAGTTCTTTATATGTATATATATCCCTTATCTGTTATGTGTGTTGCAGGTCTGTGCGGCATTAGGTGATGTCTATAGAGGTTACATGGGCATCAGAGCAGGTCTAAAACCCGATTGTTTACCTCCCACCCAGGGTCTCCAGAACTCCAGCTAGCTCACGTGAGGATAAAAGTCTGTAGTTACCTAGGCTTTACTATGTAAGCGTTCATTCAGTGACTTCTAACTGATGACAGTATGCTCCAGGTAGTGTTCCAAATGCAGGTGGCCCCATGGAAAACCAGTCAGGGGAGGCCCCCGAGTGACACCGCAGGCACCCCGCTAGCACGTCACCTGCAGACATTGCCTTACAGCTTACGCAGAAGGCAGAGTCCTAAGCCTGTGCATATGGCCCATGGCTATCGGCAATAATCTGACTGATGTCTTCCTCCCACTTCTTCCAGCAGGGCAAGCTCCCTGGCCTCTCTGAGCCTCAGTTTCCTCAGATATAAATTGGAACTTGAATCACTCAGAACTATGGAACAACCCCTTTTCTCCTTTTCCACCAGCGGGAACGTTGCTGGACCAAAGATGGCATACTAAGTCCCCTGGGAGGGGGACAGCCTTAAAAAGGCCTGGCTGCGACTGTTGGACGAAAAGCCACACACAGCTGAGACCAACACACTGAAGCGCCTCTAAGTCTTGGGGAGCGGAACTGCCTTCGTTGCCCAACTGGTGAGGGCCACCCAAAACGGAGTTGGCAGTGGGGGTCAACAGAGGTGACAAGTGTGGAAACACTGCCCACTGCCGTCCCTCCAGGAGACCTGGGTGTCGTCTCAGGGAGGCGGGATTGGAACGGGACAAGAAGTGCTCAGCACAGGGCAGTCGGCCTGGATGATAGGAAAGAGAAGCCGAGGGGAGCAGCAGCTGCCTGTGGACTCGGCCATGCTGGGCCCAGAGCAGGGCTATGTGCCTGGTGGCTTCACCTGACACAGAGGTCCTGGCCTTCCAGTGACCCTTCCAGCTCTCTGAACCTCGTCCTTTAGGGGGTTTTTATTGGTTTGATTGATTAAATCATTGGCCCTTGGTGATTAATTCAATCTCCAGCCCCTCTCCCCTTCCTGGAGGTTGGGAGATGGGGCTGAAAGCTCCCAGATTCTAATCAAGGCTTGGTCTCTCTGGCTACCAGCCCATCCTGAAGCTGTCTAGGGCCCCACCAAGAACTGTCTCATTAGAACAAAAGATGCTGGAGCCGGCCCTGTGGCACAGCGGTTAAGTTCACACGTTCTGCTTCGGCGGCCCAGGGTTTGCCAGTTCGGACAAGCAGACATGGCACCACTTGTCAAGCCATGCTGTGGCAGGCGTCCCACATATAAAGTAGAGGAAGATGGGCATGGATATTAGCTCAGGGCCTCTCTTCCTCAGCAAAAAGAAGAGGATTGGCAGCAGATGTTAGCTCAGGGCTAATCTTCCTCATAAAAAAAAAAAAAAAAAGAGTCTCCTATCATACTGGAGACTGCAAAGGTTTTAGGAGCTGTGTGCCAGGAACTGGAGACAAAGACCAAATATATATTTATCACAAAAGTAAATTTGCATGTTTACGTGAACTCTCTGGATTTTCAAATAGTTTGCAACAAATTCTGATCAATACTTTGATGATCAAACAAACCCATTTGTGTGTGTGTGTGTGTGTGTGAGGAAGATTGTTCCTGAGCTAACATCTGTGCCAATCTTCCTATATTTTGTATGTGGGACTCTGCCACAGCGTGGTTTGATGAGCAGTGTGTAGGTCCATGCCCGGGATCCAAACCTGCAAACCCTGGGCTGCCTAAGCAGAGTGTGGGAACTTAACCACTGTACCACTGGGCCAGCCCCCAAAACCAGTTTGAGATCATAAAATATCAATGCTAGATATTACTTTACAGGCCGTCTAGTCTGGCTGAGCCTTTTGTGAAAACGTTTCTTCTTTATTATAATGGTAACACATCAACATTGTAAAAGCAGAAACAGTGCAATGAGAAGGCACTCTTCCCCCACACAAGACCTTGCTCCCCGAAAGGAGACTTTTCAGCAGTCTCTATATATCCTTCCAGATGTGGCACCTGCCTTATCAGGTAACAGCACATCCCAGCTTTATCAGCACACAGAGACCCCACCACCTTTTGTAATACCTGCGTGGTACTTATTGGATGGTCTACCCTGATTCTCATTGACCAGTTTCCCATTGGGAGACTCCAGGTTGTTTTTGCTACTAGGAACTTACCGCATCATCAGTTGTACATGTGCACCTGTGCCTGTAGGATAACTGTCTACAAGCAGGATTGCTGGCACCGTGTGTGTGCCCCTCTCACGATTTTTGTATATAGCCAATCACCCTCTCAATCATCAGAGCACAACACAGGTTGCTCTTCCATCTTGTCCCAGGAGATGTTGACCCTGCCTCTTTCATCCTAGGATTATTTTAATCAGAGTTCTACCAATATTGATGACATTCATTTGTGGACACAAAATAACCTATAACCACTCAAGAAATATAAGGTGACCTTTACTGGGGCCAAGCTTAGGATTATAACCCAGGAAGGCAGTCTCCACAAAGGAAGAAGTCCTTCCGGAGAAGCATGGTTTTCAGGACAGTTTTATATCTTTTTGGAACAAAGAACATACATCAAACATGCCCAAGATACATGTTCACCAAAGTTTCAAAGACGTATTCAGTTGCAGACTAGCAGGTCAACGTGACCCTGATGTCCGGGAAAGGAAACAGCTTCAAGAGTTACCGACACTGGCACATTGTAGGAGGGGAACTATGCACTCTTATCTTAAAAGAGTGCATTCTTTTACTCTGAGATGGTGTCTAATGCATTCTTCACTTTAATGGTTAAAGCAGATGTGCAGTGTATGCTTGATACGTCAGGCTTCTTTAGTTCACGCTGAATTAGTTTTAAACCAGAATAGCTACCCCACAGACTTCAATATGTGAACATTTCTTGTCACATTGAAAAAATGCATCTTCTGGAGTGAACTCCATTAAGTCAATGTATTTCTATGATTCATTTTCCGTTTGGCATAAACAAGTTCTTTTTTTTTTTAAGATTGGCACCTGAGCTAACATTTGTTGCCAATCTTCTTTTTTTCTCCTTCTCCCCGAGGCACGCCAGTACGTAGCTGTATATTCTAGTTGTAGATCCTTCTGGTTGTGCTATGCGGAACGCCACCTCAGCATGGCACGATGAGCGCTGCTTGGTCCACACCCAGCATGCGAACCGGCAAAACCCCGGGCCACTGAAGTGGAGCGTGCGAACTCAACCACTTGGCCACAGGGCGGGCCCCCATAAACAAGTTCTAACTTTTTTCTATTAAAATTTATATTTTACTGAAAACTTCAGCTGCTTGAAGTTGGTATCTGCGGATACCAATGGTTCCATTGGTCTTTTCCATAAGATTTAAAACTATTATTATTACTTGTATTTTTATCATACACAAGAATAACACACATAACGTGGATAAGATATATATTATGAAGTTGGTATACATTGTAACATTGAATACCCAGAGAAACCTTAACATTTTGGGCTTTGGTTACTTAAAGGTAAAATTAAGCTGAAGTATTTGGAGTGTCTACTTTTTTCCCCCGAGATCATTCTTTTTATTATGTATATACAATTACATATGGTAAACTATCCATTACATAAAATTTACCGTTTTAATGATTTTTAAGTGCACAGTTCAGTCACAGTAATTAGTCACATTGTTGTGCGACCATCACCACCGTCCATCTCCAGAACTTTGTCATCTTCTCCAACCAAAGGTCTGCTCATTAAATACTAATTCTCCACTTTCCATAAGATTTTGTGGCATTGAATTCCTAGATCAGCCTTTAGCTATATCAAATTTTACCAATAATAGCTTCTGCCATTTTGACCCCCCGCATTATTTCTACCAAGTGCCAACTGTCTCGGTCAAATTTGAACGTCCAAATTTAGTGGCTAAAAACCCTTGAGGCTCATATCAGTCTTATTAAAAACATTGACCATGTGCAGCTTTAGCCTTTGTCAAATTAATTTTGTTTTGTTCATTTCTTCCAGTGACAATCACTATGAATTGGATAAGTTAGCTTGGATCTATTTCTCTGCGTAACTCACAGGAAAATTGTGAGCAACTTTGAGAAACAGAGTGGAGAGAAAATGAGGGCGAAAAAACACACAGAGATTAACAAACACACGGGGGTTCAAGGAGGGAGGCAGGGTTGTGTTGGTTCCATTGGTTGCTGAGTCCTCAGGGGTCAAAGGTCTCCCTGATACGCATGAGAATGTCAGGTCACTTTCCCTGACCTCCTGAGAGGTCTTGTTTTCCCACTACACCACGTGACGTCAAACTTTCTCATCTTTGCCCATCTGAGAAAGCAAAACAGCACGTGCTTGTTTTTCCTTTTTTTTTTTTTAAAGATTGGCCCTGAGCTAACATCTGTTGCCAATCTTTTTTTTCTTCCTCTCCCCAAAGACCCCCGGTTCCTAGTTGTATATTCTAGCTGTGGGTGCTTCTGGCTCTGCTATGTGTGACGCCGCCTCAGCATGGCCTGCTGAGTGGTGCTATGTCTGCACCCAGGATCCGAACCAGCGAAACCCTGGGCCGCTGAAGCAGAGCCCGCGACCTTAACCCCTCGACCGTGGGGCCGGCCCCAGCATGTGCTGTTTTAAGTTGTATCTCTTTATTTAAAAGGGAGGCTGATCATCTCTTCTCCGGTTGATCAGTCACTTAAACTTCTTTTTTTGTGAATTAGCGTTTCACGTTGTGGGAGAGCAGAATTGGCCACCCCAAAATGTGTGTCTTTGGCTTGACTGTTTTTAAGAACAAAAGACTCTGAAAGGAACTTTGACTCTCCCCCTAACTGCCTAAAAGAATTAAAACAGAAGTTCTGTCCCAGGAAGGAGCTAATACCATAGGATAACTATAGTGTAATATAAATAGGTGTGGTAGACAGGAAGGTGCTGGAGGCCCATTTTTATCAAAGTTCTCTCTCAGGTCACGCTGTCTACAGATGGCCCAGTAAACATTTATTTATCAAACATTCGCATTTTCATCTCCATGTGAATTGCCACCTCCAACACCCTGCTTTGTCTTTAGCTGAAGATGGTATTGAAGGTGGTGGCTTTGGCCATTTTGGCAAGTTACTCAGATTTCCTGGGTTTCTCCCATGTATACATGTTATTAAAGTCTGTTTGATGTCCTCCTGTTATTCTGTCTCACGTCAATTTAATTCTTAGTCCAGACAAAAGGACCTACAAGGTAGAGGAGGGGTTTTTCCTCCCCTGCAATGTCTTTGCCCGCTTTTCTGCTGGGTTACTGATGTTTTTCCCATTACTTGGTGAGAATTTTTACAGATAAGGGACTTCATTTTAGACATAAAGGATTTCACTTCATTTGTCATGTCCCCCACCCCCCAGCCCAGTTTGTTGGTTGTCTTTTGACTTTGTGGTATGTTTTTTTCCTACAGAAGTTTTAGATTTTTCTGCAATCATATTTATCACTCATTTCTTTCTGAGTTTTGTTCTCTATTTCTGGTTGGTTTCTTTTATATTGTTTTTGCTGTCCTTAGGAAGGCTTGTTCCACTCTGAGATGATTTATAAAAGATACTCATTGAAGATTTCTACTGGTTTGGGTTTTTATCTGAAGTCTTGACCCCTCCTGAAACGTGTCAATAAAAGGTGCGTGAAAGTGTTCAGATTTATGTTTTCCGAGATCCGGCCAGTTGCCCCCACATTGTTTATTCAATCAGTGGCTGTGCACAATGGGTTTGAAACACCACCCTTGTCACATCCCAACCTCCTGTGTGTGCTGGGACCTGCCTCCCCAGTCTCGGTTCTGCCTGCCTATTCCTGCTCCAGGCAGAGTCTTTGACGGGTGAATAAATGGAGCCCCGGATCCTCTGGCAGAAGTCTGGAAAGGACAAGAAGTCAGGGGTGAACACCGGGCTCTAGGAACAGATCCATGAGCAGCTCCCGAGTGCTAGTCAGCTGGAGGGCCCAGGCGCCCTGACCTGCTCCACAGAGTCAGAAAGGAGAGTTTCACAGGGCTCTGACCCCACACAGGAAATTCCACATGGGCTTGAAGGGCTAAGGGACAGGGAAAGAAGGAACTCCGAGTCCCTGAGGACATCGCTGACCCAGACCTGGGAGTTCCAGAGGCTGCCGTCCAGCGGGTCCAGGGGCCGGGCCCCCACGTGACAAACCTACAGCAGAAAGGGAAAGACCAGGCGAGGGTGGGGGGCCGACCTCAGGGCAAACTCTCCCTTTCCCCCTCAAAGCAGGCGTACCAGCCACAGTAAGTCCTGCAGCCTATGGGAAAAACATCTGTGAGTCCTCCGTCTGTGTGGGAACAGGGTGTTCTGAAGTCACTTCCCAGCTGCAGGGGTGGGTGGGCAGACGGCGCCTCTCTCCTCCGCAGGCCAGAAATAAAGAGACCTCCTTGGTCCTCCAGCCCCGCGCGGCCTGCTGACCCCTGCTCTTTTAATGTCACAACTTCTTGGTAACTTTTTATTTTGTCATTTGAATTAGAGAACAGTTGCAAGAATAGTACCAGGAATACTCATGTACCCTTTACCCAGGTTTTCTAACTGGTTTGCATTTTCCCTGTTTTCTGTTTTCTCATTCTTATTCTCTCTCTGAGGGCAACAGTCAGCCCTCGGTGTCCACGGGTTTCCCCAACCACCGATTGTGGACTGTGTTTGCTATTCTGGTTGGGTGGGTCTGTGGATGCAGAATCCGCAGATACCAAGGGCCAACTAAGGGACTTGAGCATGCATGGATTTGTACATACACATGTGCACGTATGTATGCATATAGATGAGTATGTGAGTATATATATATATATATATAATATACATGTATATGTATTTTTTTTACGTGAGCCATTTAAGAATAAGTTGAAAGCCTTATGCCTCTTTATGCTTAAATACTTCAATTTCTCATATCATCACAGCACAATTTGTGTCAAAATCAGGAAATTTAACATTGATAGTTATCTAATGTAGACTATTTAATGTAACTTTTATATTAAAATGTTTATAGTCACATAAAAATTTATATTAGATAAAAGGAAGAAAATAAAAATTGCCCACAATTTCACCCTGTAGGTTAGCTGCTGTTATCTTGTGTACATCCTTCCAGAATGTCATATGCCCATATATGTGACTATGTATCCTTCTTAAATGAAAATAGGATCACACAGCGGGTGACACTTTTTTGTTCTCTTCTGCTTACCTTAAGGCATTTTGCCTTAAAAGGGCACAACCCAAGGGAGAAATTCTCCACCCAGGTGTGGTCACAACTCGGGTTTCCTGCCAGCAGCTGTGAGGTGTCTCACGAGGAATTTGTTACAAATATTAAACGAAGTCCTACAGTTTGTGAGTCATTTCCTTTAAAAATCCAGAATGGATTCAAGTTACACCTATAATGCCATTCTCATCTGCCTGCATGCTGAAGCTTTTCGAATATTTTAATGTTTCAAATTACATAGTACATTTAAAGACTCATTACATTCTTATCCTAAAAGATACAAAGAATCCAGACAAAGCCAACACCCCACTCCCCCTGTTCCCAGCCCCACTGCCCGGGGAGGAGCAGAGGCACGAGGTGTGGGTCCTCCCCAACCTTTTTCTCTGCATTCACACACTGGGCACATGCAGAAACACGTCGTTTTGTGAATGCGTGTGATGAAAGGTTACTGACATGGTCTTATATTGTATCGTGAGCATCTTGCTTTTCGTCATGTAACAAATGTCTTGGAGATCTAAACGCAGGTCTCTTTCTAATGGCTACAGGGTGGTTGGCTGTTTAGATGTATTTATTCCCTACTGATGAATATTCAGGCCATTTCCTACTTTTACTATAATTAATCATTCTTGACCTGCTAGCTATGCAGAGTGGCGGAGAGAGGGGGTGGGCCGTGGAGGGTGTGGGTAGACATAGCTGGCTCCTCGGGAACTGAGTGCACACAGCCCTGGGGAGGCCAGAAGTGTGTCCTACCTGGGGATGTCATTGTCCTCTCACAGTCAAGGTGTCAGCCCCGAGGCTAACATCCCAGGGCGTTCAGGGACAGACCCAAAGGTCAGGTGGGGCCCAGGACGGAGCAGACAAAGAAGGGAAGCAAAAGACACAACAAAAACTGGTTTGGGCAACTCTTACAAAACGGTTGGCAAACTTATTCTGTAAAGAACCAGATAGTAAATATTTTAGGTTTTGGGGGTCATATATCTCGAACACAACTACCCAACTTTGCCGCTGTAGCTCAAAAGCCATCACAGACAATTCGTAAACGAATGAACGGGGCTGTGCTCTGATAAAATTTTACTGATGGATGCTGAAATCTGAATTTTATATAATTTTGACATGTCACGAAATAATATTCTTTTTTGATTTTTTTCAACCGTTTAAAAACATAAAGTCATTCTCAGCTTGTAGGTCATACAAAAACAGGCATCGAGCTGGATGGTTAGTCCACGTGTGGTTAGGAGCTGTCATTTTTGTCACGCCCTCTCAGCAGGCTTGGGGGCCAGACTTGGCCGAGAGGCAGTTCCGGGCATCACGCAGTGTTGACCTGGGCCGGACCTTCCCTGGAGGCTGCTCCATCCAGGCCAGGAGAGGCCACGGAGATTTGTACTCGTGTTCAGGGCTGCGAGAAGGGACTCAAACGAAGGCGCTGCTGGGCGCCGGGGAAAGCTGAGGGCTGACAGGAAGGGACGCTGTCGGGCTCTTCAGAGAAGCTTCACAAATCCGGTGCACACCAGCTGGGGTTCAGGCGCTGTCAGGACTCCTGGAAGATTGTTTTCAAAATCATCTGCAGCAGGAAGAAAAGATACAAAAAGCCCAGAATTGGAGAGGCTCTTGTGAGGATCTCTGCGGAGGAATCTGATTAAAGAAACGCTGCGTTAGTGATCACAGAAATGTAACTTGAAGTGAGCGCTTTCCCACCTCTCCCCGGACACGTCCCAATAAAGCTCCCAACCGCACGCAGACTTTCCTCTGGCTCGAGGCCTGTATTTGTGTAACCCATGAGCTAAGAACAGCTTTACGTTTTTAAATGGTTGAAAAAAAAAATCAAAAAAGCCTATTTTGTCATGAAATGTAAAAATTATACAAAATTCAAATTTCAGCATCCATAAGTCAAGTTCTATTGGAGCACAGCTACGTTCATTTGTCTGCGAACTGTCTGTGGCAGCTTCTGAGCTACAGCGGCAGAGTGGGTAGTTGTGTCAGAGACATACGGTCCCCAAAACCTAAAATATTTACTTCTTACATTTTTTAAGAGATGCCATTTATGTGTGTTTGTTTTTTCCCAGTTAAAAAAAGTAATACATGGGAGCCAGCCCAGTGGCGCTCTGGTTAAGTTTGCACACTCCACTTCAGTGGCCAGGGGTTCGCCGGTTTAGATCACGGGTGTGGACATGGCACCGCTTGGCAAGCCATGCTGTGGCAGGTGTCCCACGTATAAAGTAGAGGAAGTGGGCACGGATGTTAACTCAGGGCCAATCTTCCTCAGCAAAAAGAGAAGGAGTGGCAGCAGATGTTAGCTCAAGGCTAATCTTCCTCAAAAAAAAAAAAAGAAAAGAAAGAAAAAGTAATACATCTTCGCAGTAGAAAATGTGGGCATGAATTTTTAAAATGCACTTGCAATACCGCTGGTAAATGGGTTTTTTCATGTACATACATGTGTGCCTCTAAGGGTCTAGCTGTCTATGTATTTAAAACTGGGAATACACTGGAACACCTGTTTCCTGTGTTTTTGCTCTCACATCTGAATCAACTTGACACATCCTAATTTTCACAAACTTCGTTTCATTAGCTGATTACATTGTAATTTAACCTCATTGGACACTTAGGTTGTTTCCAAGTTGTGAACATTAATAAAGCTTGGAGACCATCTTCGTGTGCTTCTCTGATTATCCTGAAGACAAATTCCAAGCAGCAGAATTACTGGGTCAGAGGGTTTGGCTCCACATTACCAGGCTGTGCTCCCACCAGCAGAACTGCAGAGGACTCCTTTCAATACCTCTTCACCAGTGCTGGGCGCAAGTCTAATTAGGACATTTCCAGGAGAGGTGGGAGAGGACTCTCATTTTCAGTTACATTTCCGTGATCACCGATGCAGTTTAATCTTCCCCCATGTTTAATGCATTTATATTTCTTCTTAAATTGTTTCTTATTCTTTGTCCATTCTCCCTATTTATTTCTGTTCTTAAAGGGAAATAAGAACTGTTCTTATTGATTTGAAGGTGCTCTTTATGTAGTAAAGATATTAACTTTGTGAATTAAAACCGAATGTTACAAAAGCTCCACTGAGGTGGCAGCTGATTAAAAAGCAAAGCTAAATCAGTGCCCACTTTCCCAGAAAAAAAGGAAAACAGTAGTAACTCTCTATCCGCCAGGACTGTGGCAAATATTTTTCCCAATTCATCCTTTGACTTTTAAAAGGCGTTCCCGTATTAAAATCGTAATGAACATTTGCGCAGCCAAATCCGCCCATCCGTTCCTGTCTGGAGCCGGCGTTTGCTCTCAGCTTACACAGAGACAGGGGAATTCCTCCTGTACCTGCCTCTCCCATCCACACCGAGGCCCCGTGCGGATCCCACCTGTGTGCCCAGGACCGGACTCTGCAGCTCCCCTTGGGCTATTTCAGAGGGAGGTGAGGGGTAGGAGGCAAGTGTCGCACGCAAAGCCCACCATCAGGTCCCACAGCCTCCTGGGTGCCAAAGAGCCAGCTGAGCGGCTCCTCTGTGCTCCCCACCTGCCCCCCTACTATGCGTCGGGGCTGTGACAGGACCCCTGGCATCCTCAGCGAAGGGACACATCCCACCTGGGTGAGCACGTAGTCCTTCTGGGTGAGGTTCCAAATGATCTCAAAGTGATCCACATCATCGAGTTCTTCAAACGAGGCTTTCCACCCTCCTCGGCGCAAAGCCTGGGTAGGAGACAGGAGGGCAGAGGAAGCATGAGGCTGCGGGAGAGGAGAGGGGCTCTCGCGTCATGCCTGCATAGGCCAGGTGCTCACTAAGTAATTGTTGACTGAATGACTGATGGTCTTAGGGTCCATTTGGGTAAGATAAAGAGGAAGATAATGAGACTGCATGACCCCTGACCTCCGGCCAAAATCAGGGTGCTGAGGGTACCTGATAAAACTCCCTGGACTGTCGGTGGTATTCGGGGGAGTCGTGTTGGCCCACAATCACCAGCACGGGGCAGGCTGCATCCACGGGCTGCGTCAGGGCGACCTCCAGGCACCGCTGTGGGCTGTTCCTCTGAGCATCCTCTCTGGTGCAGGGGGTGGGCATGGGTCAGCACAGAGAGAAGCCTTTGCTTCAGCCCTGGCCCTCCCCACAGGCTCCAGGCCAGCTGGGGGAGGTGGGGGTGAGTGACTCACAGGGTCATGAGGAGAGCCTCGTTCTCAGGGATGTGCATGATGGGCTCCAGGTCGTAGATCCCACTGACCAGGAAAAAGCCTGTGAAGGTGAAGAACAGCCACAGGGCCAGGCTGCAGGTAGGGCCAATGCTCCACCCAGGCCAGGCTTCATGCAGGCACAGGTGGGGCAAGATGGGGCCAGCCCAACTTCCAGTGCCAGAGGGACAAGACCAGCGTAGGGGGCAGAGAGGGAGCAAAGCGGGCCCTGCTCACAGGGCTCAAAACCCCCAGGTCAAGCCACTCACAGCTGCTGGGATTTCAAACAGCTGGTGCAGCCCCTCCGGCCATCAGGGGAGGGTGAAGGCTGCCCCGCCCGGCTGCAGTCCCCACAGAAACCTTTGAGGTTGGGTGTGGCTCCATGCTTGGTCCAGTTGGCTAGCAGCATCATGGCGGCCAGGTGGGCCCCAGCTGAGTGTCCACACAGGTAAATCCCCCTGGGACGGGTCAGAGCAGAGGACCAGATTTGAATTCAGTTTCCCCAAAGCATCAGGCCAGTATCAAGGAGTCCCAATTTGCCTTCTGCTCCACAGGCTAGAAAGGGAAGTTGGGCTGCATCCAAGGGGCTGAATCCTCTGTCCTCCCACCCAGCATCATCCGACAAAAGCAAAACCCGCAGTGACACCCACTCATTGCACGGATACCGCTTCTGGACAAACGCGATGCTCTGGGTCACCTGGTCCACCATCTGGTCCAGGGTGCCTGCAGAGAGCACGAGCTGGGTCAGGATCCACTGGGGCTCTCTCCCCTCCAAAGCCTACCAACCTTCGAACCTGCAAGACCACCCCCTTTACCTTTGGGGGCGATGTCATAAGACACTACCACCACGGCCACTCCCTGGGCTGTCAGTGGGCTGACCATGAAGGCCGACGAGTCTTTACTGCAGAAAGAGACAAAGATGCGACAACCGGAGGCAACGTGGCCACTACTGCTTCTGTGTCCTGTCCACCCCAGCACAGCCCCTCTCTGACCCCGTGTGGTATGGGGAAGGTGGGCTCTGTGCTTGCCACATCACGTGCTAGCTATGGGGCCTTGGGGACCTTATTTAACCTCTAAGCCTGGGTTTCTCATCTGTAAAATAGGGACAATCATCTTTTTTCTCTTAGGGTCTGCTTTTCGAGAACTGAAGGCGATCAGACACGTAGAGAGCCTCGCCTGGCAAAGGGCACAGGTGCGGCACATGTAGCCATGAGGATGAATCTGCCTGAAGGGCGGTGGGCCGGCACAGGCAGCTCCTTAGTAAGATCCTAGGGCACGGCGTCCTGAAGATCCCGAATACCCTGCTTGTCTGAGGGTCACCAGCTGTCCGGGGTTGCCCAGGACTCTCTTTTTAACACCGAAAGCCCCATATCCTGTGAAACACCCCCCGTCCCTACCAAACTGGGCTAGTTGGTCCCTGTGGCTTTCCCTTTGACTAGAGAGTAGACTGAATGTGTGTCTCACCAGGTACAGTGGGTTGAACAGTGCCCCCAAAAAGATATGTGCAAATCCTAACCCCCAGTACCAGTGAATGTGACCTTATTTGGAAATAGGGTCTACGCAGATGTAATTAAGAACCTTGAGGGCCGCCCCGTGGCTGAGTGGTTAAGTTCATGTGCTCCACTTTGGCGGCCCAGGGTTCACTGGTTCAGATCCCGGGCGTGGACCTAGCAGTGACTATCAAGTCATCCCACTTCCCCGACTTACCTTCCACTCTGCCAGTACCCTCCGTGGAAAAACACAAAGAAGGGCAAAGCTGCAAGAGACGGAGGAGGCTGGGCTGCGGCCGGGCGCCGGCAGTGCTCTGCCACGGGGCCACTGCGCCCCCCACTCACCCTCAGACTCGTCCTCAGGAAAGTAGATGTCCAGTCTCTCTCGTTCCCTGTCTCCGTAGGGGACGTGCAGCAGGCTCCCCCTGGCGGCCTGGGCCCTCTTGGTGGCTGTCTCGGGAGAGGGACAAATGTCTGTCATCACAACCTCAGGCAGCAGCACTTTCTATTGTGTTTCGGGTAGAAACCTCTTTGCTGAAGGCCCCATGGGTCGACCAGTCAGCTCCAGCCGCCGGTGTCCCGTGAGGGTCTGTGGTGGTTCCAAAGCTTCCACGTGTGTGTCGCTCCACAGACCAGACCGCCTTACCCAGGTGGGGCCAATGCTATCTGCCAACGTCTGTCACTAAGTGAGAGCTCTAGTTCTGACCGGCACTGGCGGACACCCCTTATCACATGCTTGTATGGGCCTCACACTGTGCTACGTGCTCCGGGAAGAATGACCTTTTCTAAGCACTTGGAAAAGTAATCTAGGGAAACAAGGGGTGGGCTCCCTTGAAATAAATAGATAACGAGACAATATGAATATATAACTGAGTGCCACGATGGGAGGGGTCCGAGTGATGTGAGAACCGGCTGAGACTTGGGTGGAGAAGAAGGAGGAAGGGCATTATGAGAGAAATAAAGGGGCCGGCCCCGAGGTATAGTGGTTAAGTTCACTGGCTCAGGGTTTGCAGGTTCGGATCCCAGGTACAGACCTACACAGCACTCATCAAGCCATGCTGCGGTAGTGTCCCACATACAAAATAGAGGAAGACTGGCACAGATGTTAGCTCAGGGACAATCCTCCTCAAGCAAAAAGAGGAGGATTAGCAAAAAACGTTAGCTTAGGGCCAATCTTCCTCACCAAAAAAAGAGAGAGAGAGAAATAAATACCTCAGGCAGAGGTGTAGAGGTGGGAGGGGATTCTTATATTTACATTGCAGTAAAAATGCCCCAAATGCTCCCCCAACAATCACTGAAACCCTGGCAGCTTAGCTCCCCCAACACTGGGCACTGGGGAGAGCGTAAATTGGTAAGCTCTTCTGGAGGGCAACTTGGCCGTATGTATCAAAGGCGAAGAACATCACACTCCTTGGTGCATTCGTCCCTATCTATACATTTATTACAGGGAAATAGCCAGAAATATTCCCAGGGACCTGTTGTGAAGATGCCCACACTAGTACCATTTATAATAGCAAAAGATCGGGCACAGCCCAGTGACCTGTGGTAGGACACTGCTTAAATACTTTACGGTATATCCCCTTTCTCTGAATTATTTTTTATGCCAGCATTCATCCATCCTTGACATATTTTCCACCTGGTTTACTGTCTGTCTGTGCCCTCACCAGGACAGGAGCTCTGTGAAGACAAGGGCTTTGCTTTGCCCTCCTCTGTAAACCCAGGACCTGACACACGGTAAGCACTTAAAAAAAAAATTGTGTGGGAAAAGAAAAAAGAAAAAGGAAAGTACGTAACCAATAAACATTTCAATAAGCAGGGCTGGGTCAATTGAGTATCCAAATGGAAAAGGAAGTTTCTTGACCCCAACTTCACACCAGGTGGGCGACAGGGTCTAAATGTGAGAGAGAAGACAACAAAGCTCCTAGAAAGGAAAATAGATCCTCATGACCTCGGAACAGGCAAAGATTGCATAACCTGGACCTAAAATGCACTAATGACAAAGGAAAAGCTGGAGTATTTCAGGACGTAAAGGGCGAAAACAGGATGCAAACTCCATGTAGTATGACCAGCTCCCTTTCAGCCGGACAGCTCAAGGCCCAGAGAAATAAAAACCGTGGTATATGCTAAGCCTCCCATGTGCCAAAGTCGGGGACCAGGCTGCCTTTGCAGGACAGGCAAAGTGGCTGCAAAACCAGTTTTGCCATCACTGACCATGTCTGCCCACCCCCCTGCCCTTGGAGTGAGGGCACAAGGCTGGGGGGCAGCTTCTTAGGAGAGACGTGGCAGGCTGCGCTCCGGGGGCCCCCACTCCCTTTCCCACAGAGGCGTCAGGAGAGACTTCTCGTCTCCTAAACCTTCAACCGACTAGCTGCTCAGAGCCTGACATGTGACTTCTGCAAGGACCTAACGACCGGAACGAGAGAGGCTCCACGCGGGTCCACGTGCCACGCTGGGTGCAGACCACTCTGCAGGACACGCTTAGTAGAGTCGACCTATTGCTAGATAGATAAGTTTTAACTAGTTAGAACCATGAGATTCTGTTAAGCGAATCAGATATATTGCATTTGTTATTATAATTTAAAGTGTTTTTTAAGAATTAAACACATTTTGTAAATCGTGTTTAAACGTTTAGGGGAATTTAATCTGCGAAAATTAAGAGCTGAGAATTAATTAACAAATAAGTGAATGCCATTAATTTTTCTTATGCAGAAATAATGTTTATACGGTTAAAAAAAATACACAACAGCCTCTTCAGTGAAATGCTCCCTCCCCTCTGCTATCTGCCTAGCTCTCCGCCCCAGCCACAGGGACCCCCACTAACATGATACAGAATCTCCCTCCCTTTAACCCAAATCGCAGCATGTTAAAGGCATTTCTGCCCGGCTGTTTCACTTAACATCTCTGGAAGAGCTTTCCCAACCAGTCCACAGAGAGCTTCCTCATTCTTTTTTTTTTTTTTTTTTGAGGAAGATTAGCCCTGAGCTAACTGTTGCCAATCCTCCTCTTTTTGCTGAGGAAGACTGGCCCTGAGCTAACCTCTGTGCCCATCTTCCTCTTACTTTATACGTGGGACACCTACCACAGCACGGCTTGCTAAGCAGTGCCATGTCTGCACCCGGGATCCAAACCAGTGAACCCTGGGCTGCCGAAGCAGAAAGTGCGTACCTAACTGCTGTGCCACTGGGCCGGCCCTCTTTTCTTTTTTGAAACAGTTACTTGGTATTCCATCCTACGGCTGCACGTTAACCTATTTAACCAGTGGCACCAGTTGCTTAGGACAAACAACCATGTCCAGTCATCAGGAAATTCTCTTGGCTCTCCCTCCTCCGGATTACCCTGAATCCGGAGTCTCCTCCCCACCCTCACTGAGACCACCCGGGATCCCTCTTCACCTCTCCCCTGGAAGGCGGCGACAGCCACTCTGCTGCTTCCATAGGACTCCCTACGGCCACGGGTGTGAGCCAGCTGGAATGGGCATCCCGTCCCATCGCTCCAAGGCTCAAAGCCACCTGGGGCTCCCGTCTTAGTCCGCTCCGGCCGCCATAACAAAATGCCACAGAGTAAGGGTCTTAAACCGCATACACTGATGTCTCACAGTTCAAGCTGAAGGCGGAAGGAGGGTTGGGGGTGAGGGCGCTTCCCCTGGGCGGCAGACGGCCGCCTTCTTGCTGCATGCTCGCATGGCCTCCTCTGTGTGTGTGCATGCGGCTCTCTCCCTCCCGGGAGCCAGGCTCTCTGACGTCTCTTCCAATAGCCCTTAAGGATCAGGACTCCACCTTTATGACCTCGTTTAACATTAATCACTTCCTTAGAGGCCCCACCTCCAAACACAGCCACTCAGGGGGCTAGGTCTTCAACATGTGAACGGGGGGGGGGGGGGGGGTACACAAAGATTCAGTCCCTCACTGCTCCCACACTCCCCCAAAGGCCCTGCAGCTCTACAGAATCCACTCTCCCCTGTTCACCTTCTCCGAGGGGCGACCCCCGACCACCCTCACACCCACGCTCTGCCATCCCCTCCCCTGCTCCGGGTCTCCCATAGCACGTGCTCCTTCTGACAGGCGGTGACGTTTCCTTCTGCCTTATGTGACTGTCTATCATCTTCCCCTGCCCACCAAGAGTCACAGTGATACAGGAGCAGGGGTTGGTCTGTTTTGCTCACGGACAGGTCACATGCGCATAGATGGGTGGCCTGCACAGGTCAGGCATCCAATAAATATCAGTTGAATGGATCAAGAGACGATGAACCAGTCTGTACCGAGAGGCATCTGGGCTCAGCTATCACAAACAACCCTGCCGCGAAGAGCCTTGCACAGGCATTATGACACACGTGCACACGGATCCGTAGGACGTGCTCTAGGCAGTGGAATTTCTGGACCAAGTGGTCCATTCATTTGTCATTTTGAGGTCACTGCCCATTGCCTGCCATGGGGGTTTGCCACCTACCCACCCACGAGCACAGTGAGAAGATGTTTGTGCCTGACAAGCTCAGCAACAGAGTGCGTTCATCAAAAGGTAGCCATCTACTTAGCACAAGAGTCCTTAAAGTACAGGTGGACCAGCTAGATTCATCTGGTGCAAAAACTAGGAAACTGATCTTGAAATTGACATTCTAAATTGAAGAGCAATTAAAACCAAGCGGCTGTAGGATGCATGACCCGGACAAGTTTCCCTGAGATGTTAAAAACTCAGCTGACCCTGAGAAGGAGAAATCGCTTCTCTCTAGGAGGTGGCCCGGTGGGTGGCGGCAGGCTGCTTTCTGTCTCTATGGATTTACCATTCTGCACATTTCATATACATGGAAGCATATATACGTGGCTTTTGTGCCTGGCTTCTTTCACTCAGTATAATGTTTTCAAGGTCCATCCATGTTCTAGAATGTACCAGAACTTCACTCCTGATTATGGCCAAATGCTATTCCACTGTATGGACATACCACATTTTGTCTGTGCATTCATCCAATGATGGACATTTGGGCTGTTTCCGCCTTTGGGCAACTGTGAGTAACGCTGCTATGAGCAAGTGTATCTAAGTACCTATTTTGAATTCTTTTGGATTAGAATGAATTTTTAATGTTTTTTAATCTATTAAAAACAGGATTGCCGGGCTGGCCCCATGGCCTAGTGGTTATGTTCACGCACTCCACTTCGGCAGCCCAGGATTTTGCTGGTTCGGATCCCAGGCACGGACATGGCATGGCTCGTCAGACCATGCTGAGGCGGTCTCCCATACAGCACAACCAGAAGGACCTACAACTAGAATATACAACTATGTACTGGGGGGGCTTTGGGGAGAAGAAGAAGAAGAAGAAGAAAAAAAAAAAAGAAGATTGGCAACAGATGCTAGCTCAGGTGCCAATCTTACAAAAAAACAAAAAAAAAAACAGGATTGCACATTACAAATACAGAATGCTTTCTCCTAGGAGAAAAAAAGAGACCAAAGAAACCACGTCAAAATGTTAACAATGGGTGGTGGAATTATTGATGGTTTTATTTTTAAAAATCTTTTTCAGTAAGCATACGCTCCTTTTGTAATCAGAAAACAACTGTTACCTGAACATAGCCAACTGCAGACAGTGCGGAGCCGGGCCACTTAACGTGCGGTGTGCAGATAGGGGAGCTGTCCCCGTTTGCCGCTGGTCCACGTTGAGCTCAGTGCACAAGGCGGCCGTGAGCATTTGCAATATATACAGTTTGGTAGAACGGCTTTGTCTCTTGAACTTAATAATAAGAAATTAGGGCTTTCAAACAAAAACTTGTACGTGAATGTTCACGGCAGCATTATTCACAATAACCAAAAGGTGGAAACAGCCCAAATGTCCGTCAACAGATGAACGGGTAAAAAAGATACACGTCCACCATGGAATAGCATTCAGCCATGAAAAGGAATGAAGGACTGACATATCCTAGAACGTGGATGGACCTCCAAAACATTACGATGCCAGGGGAAGAAGCCAGACCCCAAAGGCCACATATGTGTGGTTCCATTTATACGAAATGTCCAGAATAGGCAAATCCAGAGACAGAGAGCAGTGAGCAGTTGCAGGGGTTGGGGGCAGGGGGAATAGGGAGCCACTGCTTAACAGGTGGGCTTCCCTGTGGGGGGATGAAAGTGTTTTAGAAATAGAGGTGATGGTCGCACAACATTGTAAATGTACTAAGTGCTACTGAATTGCACTCTTTAAAATGGGTAAAGCGGTAAATTTCATGTTCTGTGTATTTTACCACAATAAAACAGAACTGGGGGTTGTATTTTGTGTGCGTTTGTTTTGCTTCTTTCATTTTTCTGTTGGAGAGGAAAAATCGGAGACGGTGGGGGGGCCCCCCCCCCGAGACCCTCTCAGAAGCAGAGGCTGCCGGTCACGGGGCCCCACCCACCTCGCTGGCGGCTGGTCCTCCTGGGGGGAGGCGTGGTTCGGGGGACTACGAGTTCAGATGTGCACCCGTCACGGGGTTTAGGCAAGCTGCTGGACCTGCAGAGGCGAGACCCCCTGACTGTGGTTCTCTCTCTCTCTACTTGTGTAGTTTATTGTACAATATATTTTTACTAAGAATCTTGGTAAAACAAGTTTAAAAACTGGTAGAGGAGCCACCAGGTGGCGTAGCGGTTAAGTTCGCAGGCTCTGCTTTGACAGCCAGGGGTTCACTGGTTGGGATCCTGGGCGTGGACCTAGACACTGCTCATCAAGTTATGCTGCGAAGGCATCCCACAGAGAAAAACTAGAAGGACTTATAACTATGATGCCTAACTATGTACTGGGGCTTTGGGGAGAAGAAAAAAAAGAGGAAGATTGGCAACAGATGTTAGCTCAGGGCCAAACTTTCCCAGCAAAAAAAAAAGCTAAATGAGTCTCCAGCCAGTTTTATAACCCAGGAATATTTTTCTCAAGGACCTGGGAGCCATCTCTTTGAAATGTAATCATCAAGGAAGATAGCGCCCCACCCCTCCTATCTGTCCTGTCCTGGCCATGCATCCCCACCCCACCCGACCCCCACCCGCTCCCACGCCCACCTCTGCCTCACCATTACCATTCCACCGGAGGAATGCAGGCTCCTGGCTAACTTATGCAGGGGTCAAATTGCCTCTCAGTCATAAAGATGCGAAAGGTTTCTTTTTCCTCTGGATAAAGGCAGTTTGCAAGCACAGATGGCCACCCTAAATACCAGGTGGATTTAGGATGGACTAGTGTGGCAGATGGTGCTGCCAGGTCCCCGTGCTTGAGGACAGGCATGTTGATCTTGACAGCAGGTACGCAAGGGGGGCATCTGCCCGGCCACATAATAGGGTGAGATTTCTTCCTGGCTTTGCAGTCTCTGCAGCGGCTTGCCTGTGATGCGCATGGCAGTTTGGTTTAATCTTTACTCAATAATAAAACATATTTTCTTTCCCCTCCGCCTTTCTGGGTGGGCAGGAGGCTTTTTCATCATTTCCACTTTACATTCCCGGCCGCCTCCTGTGAGTCTGATTCCAAGGAGGCAATCTCCAGGCCACAGGCAGCACTGGGGAGGTCGGGGGCACTCTGCCAGGAGAGGCCGGCTGGTGGGCAGGTACTGACCTGCCGGCCGCCATCACCCTGTCAACCTGCTCCCCCCTCTTACCCGGGAGCTGAGCGTGAGCCTGAGTAAGTCAGCCTCATGGAGCAGGGCCTGGACCGGGGTGGGGTGAGTTTGTGCACAATGGGGCAGAGGGAGGGGGGACCAAAAAACTCAGTAATGAAGATCGCATGGGCTCAACGTTTGTGTCCCCCAAAGGCATATGGTGAAATCTTACCCCTAATGCGATGTCATCAGGAGGCGGGGCCCTAGGGGGGGCAATCAGGTTGAGATGAGAGCCTGAGGGTGGGGTCCCTGCGATGGGATTAGTGCCCTTATGAGGAGAGGAAGAGACCCCAGAGCTCGCTGTCTGCCACATGAGGACACAGAGGGAGGGCAGCCGTCTGCAGCCAGGAAGAGACCCCTCGCCACGAACTGAATCTCTGGCACCTTGATTTTGCCCTTCCTGGACTCCGGAACCGTGAGAGATAGATTCCTACTGTTCCAGCCACCCAGTCCGTGGCATTTCGTTACGGCAGCCCAAACTGACCAATGCAAAGACAAATTATATTTGAATGCAATTAAAAAAAATCAAAACTAATGCCAAAAAGTCCATGACGAACAAAGTGTCAACATTTTAAATAGAGACAGCTCCAACCCTGCACACGCGGGGCTCTGCTCATTCGCCCGGCCGACTGCCCCCTGTTATCGGGCTCTGTTCTTCATCTGAGAAAAGGCTTCTGCACCTGCAGCACCCCTGGGCCAGCTGGAGCCTCGACACAAGGAAGCGGGGTGGAGTGGACACTTGAAGCTGTCCGCAGGGCTTATGGAGAGGAGCTACCAAAGAGAGGCCCCGAGGGCTCCAGGCGGCACACTCTTCTTAGAGCGAGTCCCTCTCTCAACGGGGGCAGCCCTTTTCTCCCTCAAGACCATTAAGATGGACAAACAGGTTTCTGCAGGCTCAGGTAGGTTTCACTGCACACTCAAATATTTATTGAGCAAATAAAGACGCATTTGGCACAGAGCTGGGCACAGAAGGGGACTCTGAAGAGCCCAGGGAACAGCTCCGCCCCGCAGGTATCGGGACAGGGAGGGGGCTGGAATGTGCTGGGACAAACCTCCGCAAGCCTGTTCCCCTCGCTGGCTTATGTCAGTGTCGAGATGCACCAGGCGTGGGAGTTCTGTTCACTCTGCCGAAACACAGCATTTGCCAACACCCCATTTTCCCACTGAGGGGAGGGGCTGCCTGCCTTCTCACCCACACTTCCTCGGGGGAACCGCTGCCCCAGCCTGGCTCCAACACTTCACCGAGTGTGAAAATCACATGGTCGCACTCCGGAGACACAGGGCGGGGGTGGACATGACCCTTGGGGCTTCAGAGCTTACAGGTTCCCAAGCCCTGATTTCTTGAAAGAAAAAGAAAGGCTTCTTTGCTTTTTTATAAATAGCAACATCCCACGTTCAGCAGCCAAATGGGAGGCCTTCCTTTTTCCACCCACCTCCCTGTGCCCCTGTGGTATGTGGCCTTAAGGGCCCGGGCCGCTTGGTGGGGCAGGAGGGGAGGTGGGAGGTGGTCGCCTGGGCCTCTCCTGTCTCTGGTCGTCCTGCAGCGAGAGCTCCTGGATGCCTGGCCTGGAGCAGACGAGGCTTCTGCAGGGCCTGGACTTTGGGACTGCCCAGGAGAGCGGCTCCTCCCCGCCCCGGCCTTCTGAACCACTGCCACATGCTGAAGTCCACCCGGAGCAGCCACGAGAGTCCCCCAGTACCCTCGTCTCCTATCTGTGAGTAGGTCCTCAGGGTCTCCTCTGCTCCCCGTCGGACGACCCAGCCGCTGGGGCTGTACTGAATCTCTAGCTCCTAGGGGACACAGATACAAGCTCCCATAAGGCCTTTGTTCTCCACAGTGTGCACCCCCACCCCCCACCCCTGTGGCACGCCTGGATGCTCCTCTCCGCCTTGAGAAGCCTCCTCCCCAATATCTCAGGCTCTCACAGATGCCCTCAGCTTCCTTCAAGGCCCTCCAGTCTCCAGGCTGGCAACGTGCTCCCCACTCTCCCCCCCACTAATTAATTAGGGGCTTCAGATACAACGTTGCAGATGTTCTCAGATCTGTGGTCTAGAGTGACAGCCATGCCTTTAACCAGCAGACAGCCTTAACAGAGAGATGAGGTCCCGTAAATGTGTCCCAGTTAGTGCCACTGATGAGGATTTTAGGCTGGTTACTTTTAAAACTACAGATGAGAAGCAGGCTCTGAGGACTGGAATTTGCTTGCTCTTTGAGAGATATTTGCATTTGTGACGGAAGGGGGGATGACCTTTTAGGGACCTGAAATTGGCCGCCCCAGGATATGTCTCTTTGGCATCGGGATTGTTTGGAGCTGATTGCTTTTGATAAACTGGGACAGGGAGGGAGGCTCTGAGGAATGGAACTTGCCCTTGTTGGGACACATTTATATTTGTAAGGTAAATCTCTATCTGTAAAAGGTGGCTCCCTCTCTGTACCAGGAAGAAGAAGACAGATGACCTTGTCCCTAGAAACTCTTAATGGGGAAGGCAAGAACTTAAGTTGGTTGCTGTCTGGCAATCTCATGTAACTGATTTAGGGTGGTTGCTTCTGACCTTTACTTAATCCGATTTGATTCTTACCTAAAAGTCATGGGATCATCCAATGACCAGAGCCCACCTGCACTGATACCATCTTAACTTTTTCCATGTTCTTCCCTTTGTCTTGTAAAGAGATGACTCACATACCCATGCCTTATAAAATTGGCCCTAACCCTCAACTCGGGGCAGCAGCAGTGGCTCGTCCTGCCCGTGGGCCCTGTCCCCATGCTATTCCACACTATTCTCTAAATACAAGAGCACTACTGCCAGATCTTGAGAGTCCAAGAAATCTTTCTTTCGACTCCTCGGCTCACCGACCCCGCATCACCACCACGGGCGCCACTCCTACGGCAGCGAAGATCTGGGGGCCAGGGAGCAGGGTGGCCACTGCAGAGAAAGAGTCATGGAGCTGATGTTCCCTGACGTACGATTCTGACTGCGGGAGGACACAGCACAGTCAAAGGCGCAGAGGTGAGGGGGAAGGGATCAAAGGTCAGTCTGGAAACGCTGACTGGGCAGACTGCGGAAACAGAGGTGAGGCTGAGAAGCAGGGGGTGGAGGAAGGAGAGTCTTGGACATCAGGCTAAGATGTTCAGACTTAACACAGAATGTAACGAGGAACCAGGTTTTGGAGAAAGGGCTCAAAGGCACAAGAGAACGGATGAAGCCTGCACGGGGAAATTTGAAGACAGGGTGTCTTGGGCTCTGGCGTCAGGGTGCCATCCAAGCTCCATCACTTACAGGCTGTTTTACTCTGGGCAACTTACTACAGTCTCTGGGTCTGAGCTCCCTCTGTATAATCTGTGTAATAACAACAGCAGCCTCACAAGGTTAAAAGGATCGGGCGTGTAAACGAAGCAAAGCTAATCACTCAAATGTGGGCTACCTCCTCCTCCCGATCAGCAGCCTTCTTGGCCAGGGGTCTTTGGATCTGTTCAATCTGTGCCTGTAAATGTTATTCCTGTAGGATGTTTACAGCCATACTTTGCACTCTGTGACTATCATCATCTTTATTGCCATGATTTATGATAATGATACTGGAATAGGTTTCTGAGAGTCCTCTGATATTGTAGAGGCGTGTGTGTGTGACACAGAGACAGACAGAGAATGGGATTTCTTGGGGGCAGGATCCATAACTTTCCTCAGATTCTCAGATGTGTCCATGAGCAGAAAAAGAACTACTGCCTGAAATGCAGGAAAACTAGTTAAGTGGGAAATTGTACCTGAATGATAATCATAACAAGTGCTTTGCATATGTTGTTTCTAACCTTCACAACCACCCCTAAATAAATAATACCAGTCTTTCTGCATCCTTCACGGTCTGGCACATTCTCCATACTCATTGTGTAACCTGAGATTAACATCAGAACTCCGACCCCAACCGCCTTTGGGTTTACAGATATTAACATAGCCAGGGCTTCAATTTTCTCCACCCTTAACATCAGACTAACGAAAGCCTGCCTGTGGCGAGAAGTAAAATGGATCACCGTGCTGAAGCTTTCAGGGGCCGGCACACAGCAGGCGCTCAACGGCGCACACGGGAGGGAGTGGCCTAGATGGCTTCTGAGCTTCCTTCCTAGAACTCCCTTCTGATCTCTGAGCTACGCTCCTCAGCCCCAGGCTCTCCCTGTAATCCGCCTACCTCTTTAGACATCTTCTTCCAGGAAGCCTCCCTCCCGGGATTCTCGCCGGTGACATCCATGCTGGTGCCTGCACCCACGTGGGCGCACGCCCCGCCCTTTACGCTGGGCGGGCGGGGCGGGCGGGGCGGGCGAGGCTTCGGTCGGACACGCCCCCGAGGCCCCGCCCACCGCCCCGGGGCCGTGCGCCCCGCGCGCGCGCGGCCAGGCCCCGCCCACCAGGGCGAGGGCTGCGGTCAAATCTCCCGCCAGGCCGCGGCCGCGCGGTGATTGGCTCCGGGGCTGCGGCGCCGGCTCCCGGTTGGCCCGCGTGCGGGGCGTAGGGGCGGACGGCGCGGGAACCGGCGCGAGCCTGCGGGGCGGCGGCAGTGGAGGTCCCTGGGCTTCGAGCTTCCCGGAGGCGCCATGAACTACATCAACCTGCCCACCGTGCTGCCGGGCTCCCCCAGCAAGACCCGGGGGCAGATCCAGGTGCGGGAGCCGGGCGGGGGCGGGGGCGGGGGCGGGAGCGTGACCGGCGCGCGCCGTGCCCCGAAGTGACCTCTCCTTCTCTCCTAGGTGATTCTCGGACCCATGTTCTCAGGGAAAAGGTAATGGCCTTGCGGGGCGGGGCTGGGCCGGGACCACCTCCTCCTCCTCCTCCCCCCAGGCCCCCAGGGCCCCGTCCTCCTCCCCTACCGCCCCTCTCAGAGCGCCCCCAGAACAGCCCCGCTGCCCGACCGCGCTCCCGCCCAGGATGCGGCTCCTCCCTGGAATCCGGGCCTGGCCAGCCGCTCGTCCCCCTCCCGCCCAGGTCAAACCCCTCTCCCATTAGGGTCGTCCAACCGCCGCTCCCTTCTGGAGCTGGTCACAGCTGCTTACCGTGTAGCCCCTCACTAGGGACCTCTCGGAAAGGGGCATCCAGGTCTTTTAAAACCTGTGTCTGCCGTGGGCCAGGCCCTGCGCCCTGCAGTAGCAGCCCCGTCCTTCCAGTGTGACAGTTTCCTTCCGAGGAAACGGCGATCCTTTCCACACTGAGGAGTCCAGCCGGGGCGCCTTTGCCCCGTGATGTGAGAACCATCCCCGGACTGGACCAGGACCGGCTAGGGAGCCGGCTGAGTAGCTTCCCTGGCCCATTCGTACGTGGCCCTGGGGGGTCCCTCCAGCTCAAACCCCTTCGCCGGGGAGTGAGGCTCAGGGTGGGCTCTTGGACCCAGAGGGAAAGTGCTTCTTAGTTGCACAAACAGTTCTCCTGAACTTAACTCAGACGAGGAGGCACTCTGGATGAGATTACTTTGGAATGAATGCAGTCTGCTGGCTCCGACCCCTCTGCCCTGCACCCACTGCACCACATCCCTGAGAAACTGACCCCTCCAGCCTTTCCCCAGACCACCAGAGGGCCGGTCCTTGCCGCCCTCCCCACAGAGCATGACTTCGAACCTGGACGTGCCTTTATGATTTCCAGGCCCTGGGTGACATATGGCACTTGTATGTCCCTCTCAGGTCCGGACTGTGGACTCTGAGTGCCAGCCCTGTCTGTCCTCTGTTCTTTCCCATGCTCCGCTCTGCGGTCTTCCCATCCGTTGGTGGGTCTCAAGCCCAGAGAGTGTTGGGGAGCGCGGCTTGTGCTGCTGGGGAATTCCTCGCCGACTCTCAAGCCGTGGGCCTCAGCTGACCCTCTATCCTTGCAGTACCGAGCTGATGAGACGCGTCCGTCGCTTCCAGATCGCCCAGTACAAGTGCTTGGTGATCAAGTACGCCAAGGACACGCGGTACAGCAGCAACTTCTCCACCCACGACCGGTCAGTCCCCACCTCCTGTCCTGACGCCTCTTCTGAGAAGCCCCGTGAAAATTCACAGGGTGCAAAACCTACAGTCAGAGCTCTTTAGTGGGGATGGTTAAGCCCGCTCAGGCCTGGCGCTGAAACATTCAAAGCAGACTTTCAACGTGGCCTGGGAGGTCGCCTGGGACTGGCCTTTCACAGGACTCCAGCCCCGTGGTTCTTAACCGGGGGTGGTTTTGACCCCCTAGAGGCCATTTGGCAATGTCTGCAGACGTTTTTAGCTTGCAGAACTGGAGGGGGAGGGCATGTTCCTGGCATCCAGTGAGTCAGCATCCTACAGGGCACAGGGAAGCCCCACAAGGAAGAATGATCCAGCCCCACACGTCATGGTGTCTGGCCGAGGCTGGGAAACCCTGCTCTGGGCCTGCGTGGAGGCTGCAAACTGGCTTTGTGTGGCCTGCATGTTAATTTTTACTTCATGTTTTTGGTTGGCTGTCCTCGCTGACTCCCTGTCCTCCGGTGGCCCTGGTGCATCTCCCTTTTATGATGGTCTGCCTGCACCCTGTGGACATTTCAGTCTGTAACCTGAGGTCGGGGGGTTAAATTTAGTCCCACTCCTGCCCGTTCCTTGGCAGCTCATTGGGGCCTGATGTTTCCGAGCCTGAGACGCTCTTTTCCGGGTCCTTGGGACTTGTCTGCCTGAGCCCCAGCAGCAAAGCCATGCTGCGCTACGCCCGGGGCCTGCGGTCTCCCAGCCGCCCGGTGTTTGGCTCCGGGGTGGAGCATGGGGTTTCCAGCCAGGCGGTGGTGGGGCAGAGAGTGCCCAGGACTCGGACTTACAAGTGTGGGGGTTTGAGTGATGCTTCCCGGCCCTGCTGTCTGATGCAGTTCGTTTCTGTGTCCGGGTTTGCTTCTTCGTCCCTAAAATGTGGTGTCGGCTGCACGGGATGCGGGGAGCATCCGGGAGGAGGATGAAAGCGGAGCAGGCAACACTGCAGGGACTAGACGTGCGGCTTGCAGAGTCACTCAGATCGGGGGTAAATCGGAGCTCTGCCCTGAGTGTCACCAGTCCTGTCTAACGTGGGCTGTAGGGGCCACAGCAGCGACCGAGCACTGGCAGCAACAAGGCCCCAGAGACACTGTCCTTGCCGCGGCTAGACCTGGCCTCCTGCCTTGCTCGCTCGCCATTTTCTCTATTTTGGGAGGAACGAGGGATTTAAAATGCACAAAATAGTTGCATATTCTTCCCAGATCTCGAAGTAGGATTATGGCAAGATAACCAAGCCGTACTTGTAAAGCATTTTGTTTTGTTATAAATACAGCTGCAAACTGCTGAGGCTTCAGGAAACTGCCAGCGCCTCCGAAGGCTAGGTCAGAGGAGCAGACAAAAATGAAACAGAAGAAAATAACATTGTAGAAAAACACAGAAGCTATTTAAAAAGAGGACAAAGAGTGGCATTCCTCTTCAAAAAGGCCCTGGTGTGGGGCGGGGTGGGGTCCACTGTGTCATTCGATGCACTGGAATGTTCCCACGCGTTCCCACACATGCCTTTCGCTTTCAGATTCTGCTGGGTAGGAATCTTCCGCGGGACTGAGATCTGGCTCCTGGCTGTGCCGGTTAGCAGCTCTTGGATCTTGGAGGGATCCTCTGAGTGGCCAGAGGGGCCAGCTGGAGGACGTTCTTCCTGCTGGTTGGAGTCCCAGGCTTGTCTCTGCTGGGCGCAGGGCGCACAGTCTCAGAGCCTTGCTGGTGGTCTGCCCAGGGTCATGTTAGGGCTTTTCCCTTCGTGGGCCCCTTCCTCCATAAAAAGAAAAAAATCAAAAATTTCATTTTATGATTGCATTGATAGCAAGACAAATATAACCCAGCCTGAGTTGTATTTATTTATTCTACTGACTTTTAAAAGAAGTTAAAACGTTTTGTTGGCCCCTAAAAGTCTCCTGGGCCCTGGGCCTGATGAGGTCACCGTGTCTGCCCCCGGCCCGCTGGATAGAAGCGGAGAAGACCTTTGGGTCTCGCTTGAGCTTCGTGTCAGGCATTGCTAACTTCTAGTCCAAAGTGTGAAGTGAAACAGCCTGTGTTGAGTGGCTGGTTTTCTGAACAAGGTCCTTTATTCTCCCTGGCTGCCTTCCCACGGGTGCTGGCTTCTCAGAGCTCTAGGCAGACGTCGCAGGCGGCTCTGCAGGGCGATGCATGGTCAGGAGAGCTGTTCCCTGGCCCCTGTATTCTGCTTTCTCCTCTCCCCAGTGTCCTCCGCCCTAGGGACGCTCTGGCTTCTCTCCCCAGGAACACCATGGAGGCGCTGCCAGCCTGCCAGCTCCGGGACGCGGCGCAGGAGGCCCTGGGCGTGGCTGTCATTGGCATCGATGAAGGGCAGTTTGTAAGTTGGCTTGTCCTGGCATGGCTCTTCCTACAAACCCCCTCACTGTCCTCCTTTCTCCTCTGCTGGTTTGGAAGTTACTGGTTCTATTTCTGATCTTTTAGTAAAGGAAGCAATGTTAACTTGGTAACTAGTGTCCTAATACCTTTTGAATTCCCCTTACTGCTTTCTGTATTATTGTTATACGGGACTTACTGTACCTTTACAAAATATATATTTACTTTACAGTGAACAAAGAAAACAGATTTCTCAACACTGGTGTATGGGGAGGGTTTGGTTTTGTTTGACTCGTTGCTGTTTCTTGCATGTTCTTAGGGGTTTATTTTTCTTCCTGCTGAAATACATCCTTTCGTAGTTCTTGCAGCTACCACGTGTTGATGGGAAGTTCTGCCGTTCTTGGTATGAAAATGTCTTTATTTTGTTCTCCAGTTTACTCTGGGTAGTAAATGGCAGGGTGGCCATTATTTTTCCTCGTGGCTTTGGAAAAGCACCAGCATTGCCTGCAGCTAATGAGAAGGCTGCTGTCGATCCCGTGATTCCTTCCCTGGGCAGGTAGTCGGTCCATTCTCTCTCAGAATGGTGTGTCCTGGCGGGGGTTGTTTTTACTTACCCTGTTTTGTATTTGACATGCCTTTTAAATCTGAGCACTCGTGACTTCATTTCTGCGGGAAGAAGGAAGCCACGATCACTTCAGCTGTCTCCCCATCTCTCCCCAAGGCCTTCTGTGGGATCTCCCAAGGTGTGTTTGGTTTCCATGACTCTGTTTTTCATTTCTGGGATTTCCGGTCAGTTCTTTTTTAATATCTACTACTCTAATTCACATATACTCTTTTTTTTTTTTTTGGAGGAAGATTAGCCCTCAGCTAACTACTGCCAGTCCTCCTCTTTTTGCTGAGGGAGCCTGGCTCTGAGCTAACATCTGTGCCCATCTTCCTCTAGTTTATACGTGGGACGCCTACCACAGCATGGCTGCCAAGCAGTGCCATGTCCGCACCCGGGATCCGAACCAGCGAACCCCGGGCCACCGAGAAGCGGAATGTGTGAACTTAACCGCTGCGCCACCGGGCCGGCCCCCACATATACTCATTTTTATTGAAGAATTTACTGTTGTTTTTTTTTTTTTTTTTTTTTAATTGATTCTGTTCCTTGCGTTGTCTTTCTGAAAATCTCGTTTTGAAGTCTTTTCCAGCTCACTCTGTTTCCGTTTCCTCTGAGTTTGAGGGCTGTCTTTGTGATCTTAGTTTCTCTCCCGTGCTTTGGAATTTTTTGTGTCAGCAAGTGCGTCTTGAATGAATGAAACTAGAGCTCACTCATGAGGGGCCTGCTCAGCCCTTAGGTGGTGTTGTGATCGCCTTCACTCACCGGCGCTAGTGAGCGTAATGTGAGCTGCTGAATCAAATGAACCCTAGCTGTCAGTAGTTTCACGTGATAGAAATGTATTCCAAGTCCGTGTGGGGGAGCCGCCCAGAGAGGCTCCCCGTCACACTCAGCTTCTCAGATCGCCGTGGGGGCCTCGTCCAGACAGTGGAAAGGGGAAAATGTGCAGGGTCCCTGTGTGAGGTTTTCATGAGCCAGGAGACAAGTGCACGCACTGCCTCTGCTGGCCTCCCCACTGGAATTTGGGCACACAATCCTTTAACTGTGCGTTTAGTCTAGCTCTGGGTCCTGGAGGGAGAGGAATTGGAAATTAAAGAAATTCGTTTGTTTGTTTGGTGAGTGGTTAGCGATCTCTGCCCGCCCCGCCTCCCAGGCTCCTGGGGCGGAGTCAGGCGGCTCCCGCTGTCCTGTCCTACAGGGACATTACAGGTCCTGTCCTATGTGAGTCACAGCCCCACACTTCGGTCCGATGGCGTGTCGCCTGTGGAGACGGACTCCTGGCAGCCTGCGTCTGCCTGCGCACCCACCTCACTCTGTCCGTTCCGTTTCTGACCCTCAGATGCTTGTCTTGCTTCTGAGCGCTGCTGTGTCTTACCTCGCGTCTTCACACGCACACGTGCACACATACATTTATATTTTCTCTTGTGGCTTTACGGTGGAGGCGAGAAGGTGAGCTCGCGGGGGCAACAGGGGCACAGCCGTTCCCTTCCTCTTCCAAACTGGAGTCTCGGGACGGATCTGAGAAATTTGGGGTCCGCTTGGGGGGTGTGGCTCTCAGAACAAGGAACGTGAACTTTGGGGAGGCCCTCCCTTCCTCCAGACCTGGTGGGGTGAGTTGATGACAGCTCTGCTCCCTGACTTTATGTAAAGCGTGTTTACAGGGCTGAGCAGACACCCTGGCAGGAGCCCTCCTTTTCTCACTTCTCCTTGGTGATATCAAGCGCCCTGGGTTAGGAGCCAGTGGGCCGGTTGCCCCCCAGTCCTGTTTCCCACTTATATGTCTGCTTTCTCCCTGGCCAGCAAGTAAACTCTGGCTTCTGTAACTGGTGCCCCATCCCTAGCCGTCCGCTCTGCCCTCGCCCCTGGGGCCCTTCCTCCACAGGGAATTCTGGGTCCAGGAGGTTGCCGCTCCCTTCCCATGGAGGGGTGAAGGGTCTTCTAGCCCCCGCGTCCCCGTGTTCTGAATCAGCGAGAAGGACTTCACAGAGTAACCATGAGGCCTTCCTGAGGAAGGCCCGGAGTCGAGCATCCACGCAGCCCCCCAACTCCAGGCAGGAACAGAAGCACTCGGCGTGCTTCCTGGAAGCCACTGGTGTTTGAGAGAGATGCGTCTGAAGACCCCAGGCCGCAGGCTGAGGATGCTCGTGGTAGGTGGGCACCTGGCTCCCGGGCACGCGAGCCCTGCAGAGGTCGCCCCTGTGTGTTGGTTAACAACTGCGTGGTGGCTTGGCTGTAGGGGAAGCCGTGATTTTAAAAACTCTTTCTGGAATTTATCTCTGTTTTACTACACAAATAATAACGTGTAATCTAGAAAAAGTTAGGCCTACACAGAAGGGGAAAAAAAGCCCACAATTGACTCCTGTTGACATCCAGAGACCCCCTGGAACGGCCCCAGAGGGACAGGTCAGGTTTAGTGTTGTGGGGACAACACAGACCCGGGAGCAGGGGCGTTCAGTGGGGGTTGCAGAGGACGTGGCTGTTAGGACTGGGGCTCATGCTGGGTCATTCTGGGGAGAGTTTTAGGAGGCTGGCTTGGCTCTTGATTCAGTGCCCTCAGGAAAGAGGGTGATTCGCGACGAGTAAAGCAGCAGCGGTCACTCCTGTTAGCCAGGAGAGGGGGCCAGTGTCCTTGTTCTGTCTGCTCACACGTGATTATGGAGAGGTCTTGTTTTTGTCTTGATCCATCACAGTCACAGAGTGGCCTTGCCTGATGCTCCTGTTCCGTGAAATTGATTACAGTCAACAGGACAACATCGAGGGCCAGCTCTGAGTGCCGGGCCCGCTCCTGCTGCTGGGGGCTGCTTTTCTCTTGTCACTGCCGAGAAAAACAAACAAAAAACACAACATGTTGGTCTATATCCTTCTAATCTTTATAGATTTTTCTTTTACTTTTTTTTTGAGGAAGATTAGCCCTGAGCTAACTACTGCCAATCCTCCTCTTTTTGCTGAGGAAGACTGGCCCTGAGCTAACATCCATGCCCATCTTCCTCTACTTATACGTGGGACGCCTACCACAGCGTGGCTTTTACCAAGTGGTGCGATGTCCGCACCCAGGATCCGAACCGGCAAACCCTGGGGCCACAGAGAAGCGGAACGTGCGAACTTAACCGCTGTGCCACCGGGCTGGTCCCTATAGGTTTTTCTTTTATCGATTGGGCTCATATATGTGCTGTGACCATTTTTCCATGTCATCAAATACTCATCCTTAGGAATATACCAGGTCTTATTTGGGCTGCCCCCTTGTATGTGGCATTTCAAGGCTGTGACGCACGTCTGTATGCGGACATGCTGGGCTGCCGTCTGGTATGTTGGGATTTATTTACTAAGTGGAATTGCTGGTCAAGCAGCCAATCTCATTCATTCATTCACTCAATAAATATTTTCTGAGCTTGTGCCATAGGTGTTGGGGATGCAGCCAGCGTGTCTGCCCTTGAGCTTACATTCCAGTTAGGGGAGAGACATACCTAACGGGTCAGCTGGTGACGACTGGAGGAAAAAGGCAGCGTGAGGGGGACAGTGCTAAGGTGGGGGTGATGCTTAAGGGGATGGTCAGAAAGGGGCCTGAAGGAGAGCCAGGGAGCGAGCCAGGCAGCAGGGGAGGTCCCGAGGCAGGAGTCTGCTTCCCGAGCGTGTCTCAGGAGGGCAAAGGAGGCCAGATGGCTTCGGGCAGGGCAGGGCAGGCCAGGCCCATGGGTAAAGACTTAGGAGTTAGGGGCTGGCCTGGTGACTTGGCGGTTAAGTTTGCACGTTCAGCTTTGGCGTCCCAGGTTTGCAGGTTCAGATCCTGGGTGGGGACCTAGCACTGCTCATCAAGCCATGCTGTGGCAGGTGTCCCACATATAAAGTAGAGGAAGATGGGCACAGATGTTAGCTCAGGGCTAATCTTCCTCAAAAGAAAAAAAAAAAAGTTAGGAATTAACCCTGGGAGAACTGGGAAGCGGCTGAAGGGTGGCTTCACGGATGGAGAGCACTCACGGAGAGTGGACAGCAGGGGGCAGAGGGGCAGAGGGTGGTGGTGAGACAGCCAGCCTTTTCAGAAATCCCCAGGAGAGAGAAGGGCGAAGGGCCAGGTGGCAGATGGTGCGAGTGTGTGTCTGTGTACACACGCGCACACACACACACGCCCTGTTCTGACTGCGTTTCTCTTTCTTCCCTACTGTGGCTCACATCTTTTTCCGTGTTTATTGCCTACTTGTATTTATTTCTCCTCTTGTAAACTGGCTTTCAAGGTCTTCCACCCATTTTTCTCTTGGTGTGTCTTTTTTCTAGCAGATGTGACATAACCGGGGCTGCTCTGTCGCGTGCTGTGAATGTTTCTTCCCTGTTTATTGCCTTTGTGTTCTGTCTGTGGCAATTCTTTAGTCTCTTGCCATTCGCACTTGGAGGGTTTACTTGGCCACATTCTTCGTCCCTGTCCTTTGTGGCCTTTGCTCTGCACCATTGCGTTCGCAGGAAGCGAGGCCGTCGTGGGGGCAGAGCCGGGGTCGTCTGCTGCGCGGCCAGAGCCAGCCCGCTCTTGGCAAGGTGGTGACGACGGCGGAGGTGTGCCTGTGGGCTTCCCGATCTCTCCTTCGGGTTCTCTCCCCCTCCTCAGAACTCGATTAGGAAATGGCTCGAGGCAGGTGACCCTGTGTGGGCAAACTTGTCATCACCAAGAAGCCCCTCTTGTTATTTTTTACCTGAATCCTATGTTGTAATTACTTTTGTCTGCTAAGAAAACCTAAATTTACTAAGTATTTTGGGGTTCCATGTTAAGTGTAACTTGTATTGGTGTCTGAGGGCTGCTGTAGCGGGAACCACAGACTGGGCGGCTGAAACCACAGGAATTGGTTCTCTTCCAGTCCTGGAGGCCGGAGGCCGGGAGCCCAGGTGTCGGCACGGTTGGTTCCTTCTGAGGCTGTGGGGGGAGCCGCTCCAGCCCCCCCCTCGGCTTGTAGGCGGCCTCCTTCTCTCTGGGTCCTCACCTCCAAGATCGTCCCTCTGTGTGTGTCTCGGTCCAAACTTCCCCTTCTGATAAGGACACCAGTCATATTGGGTTAGGGCCACTCTACTGACCTCACCTTAATTGGATGACCTCTGCAAAAACCCCTCTGTCTAAATAAGGTCACATTCTGAGGTATTGGGGGTGAGAGTTTCAACAGGTGAATTTGCGGGGTGGGAGGGAACACAATTCAGCCCATAATATAACCTAAAAAGCTAAGGGCAATAAAAGGAAATACCAGTAACGTGGTTACCAGTGGACATTCTGAAATGTTGCTGACAACCTGGGCAGCTCCACCCTTATCTGTGATAGTTCAGAAACCCCTGCCGGGTGCAGGGCTCCTCGCTCCCGGGGGAGGTGGCCTGTGAACTGGGGCGACGTGTTCCAGTGGCAGAACCGCGCTCTTTGCTGTGGGCATTGGTGCAGTGGCTGGGGGGGGGGGGGGGAGTCCAAGGACGCTCCTAGGGTCCCCAGACCCTGGTGTGGAAGGACCGGTGTCCTGACATCTGCCTCAGCGTGCTGGGCGAGGCCCAGGGTGCTCAGCCCAAAGCAGTTTTGTCCCCCGGCCCCTACCCAGTGGCCAGCTGGCAATGTCTGGAAACAGATTTGTTTGTGACAACTGCGGGAGGGGGAGGGGTGCTGGCTGGCAGCTCCTCACTGGCTGGGAGCTGCATTTCTGTGGCCCGTGATGAGTCCTCCAGAGAAAAGGGGGGACGTGTGTGTGGTTGTGCTGGAGTCTCTGGGTGGGGGTGCCCGTTTCTGTAGCTCAGGCCCGGCCCGCTCTGCAGAGGGTGTCAGATTTGGCTTTGGTTGAATTCCACTTGAATTGCTCTTGGTTTTTCTAACCACTTTCATGGTCCTTTTCTTGCTAAGCGCTCGGGTCTTAGTGACTTTGCACCATGATGACAGCCTGAGCGGCCTGGAGAGAGACCCTTTGCCCAGAGATCAATTTAGTTAGATAAATGCTGAAGGCACAGGATTGACCCATGGAAACTCACCAAAGGATTTAAGTAGCAGCCTCTCCTTGGGCCATTTAAAATGAAATTTGCCTTACTGAGTCAATGGCCTTTCTGCAGCCCTGTATTTAGAAGGGCAGGCGAGCTGTGTCATCCTGCTCTGTAAATGGCTGGTGGAATCCCGGGCCCTTCTCACAGTGTCACATGGCACATTATCTGTTTATTATTTGAGTACCTTTGGTCCCTAAACAACACTGGGCGCCTTCCTTGCCGTTTCTTAGGCTCAGGAACATGAAGTCATGGCCAAGGTGCCACAGCTAACGGGTCTAACCAAGAGCAGAGTTCAAGCCCCAGGCAGCCCTCTTGCCCGAGCCTTTGACCACCGCAGTGTTAGAACACCTCCAGCCAGACCGCATACCCTGGTGACAGGTCCTCGGTGCTTGGGTGTGGAGCGGAACCTGGTTCTGCCGGGGGATGCTGGCGGAATGGTGAAGGGACGTGGCCTTCGTGGACATGTACGGCCACATGCAGCAGGGACTGAGCGCAGAAACACTCAGGCCAGCTGGGAGGGTTAGGGTCCTCCTGTTCTCATGCTCCACGCTGATCGAGTGGCTGGAGTGGCCTTTGGCTCCCGGAGGACTGAGCCTTCTCCCACCCCTTCCAGTTCCCCGACATCGTGGAGTTCAGCGAGGCCATGGCCAACGCCGGGAAGACCGTGATTGTGGCCGCACTGGATGGGACTTTCCAGAGGAAGGTAAGGCGTCTGTCTGATCCAGGTCTTGGGACGGGATCGGGAGGGAGGAAGGGGCCTCGGCAGGCACAGGGCTGTTCATGGAGACGGGCGCCCAGCACCCTTCTCCTCCATCTCAACACAACGCCCCCCGAAAGACTGGGGCTTGGCACTGGGGGGCCTGCGAGCTGCCCGGGTGCTCAGACAAGCCAGACCAGCTCCCTGGTTTGCCCAGGAGTAAGTCCTTCCCAGACTGGATGCCGTCTGCTGCCGGGGATGGCAGTCGGGGGCAAGTGAGGTCAGGGCAGAGTTCCCTGGCTTCGGTGCTTGTCCCCTGCGAGGGGCATGTGCGGACCTGCTGTCTTTCCCTGGGCCTGTAGGCTTTCGGGGCCATCCTGAACCTGGTGCCCCTGGCCGAGAGCGTGGTGAAGCTGACGGCGGTGTGCATGGAGTGCTTCCGCGAGGCCGCCTACACCAAGAGGCTGGGCACGGAGAAAGAGGTAGCTCCCACTTGCCCTCTCCGCGGGGTGGGCCGTGGCCCCGAGGGGCGGTGCCCGTCTCAGTCCAGGCCCTCTGTGTCCCCGTGGCCAGGTCGAAGTGATCGGAGGAGCAGACAAGTACCACTCTGTGTGCCGCCTCTGCTACTTCAAGAAGCCCTTGGGCCAGCCTGCCGGGCTGGACAGCACAGAGAACAAGGAGAACTTCCCGGTGCTGGGGAAGCCGGGGGAGGCCACGGGCGCCCGGAAGCTGTTCGCCCCTCATCAGATCCTGCAGTGCAGCACGGCCAACTGAGGCCTCGGCGCCCAGGGACCGGCCACCTGCTCCCTTTCCTGCTGCCGCCCCTTGGCGGATGGCTGCGTGCACGGGCTGCGCGGCCTTTTCAGAGGAGGAAGTCCTGGAGGACGTGAGGTTTCACTAGCATGTGGAACTCTGTGCGTCTGTAGGCCCTTTCCCCTCCTTTCCTGCCCACTGGCCTTTCCTAGTTCCCTTCCCGGCTGCTGGTCTGCTCACGGTCCACTCTGGGCCAGAGCAGACCTTGCGCTGTGGCTCAGGGTCTGGCCACAGCAGACGTCCCCTCCCTCTCATTTGAGGCGAGGGGTAGAGCCACACGCTGTTGTGACAGTGGTGCTGCTGGCTTCTTCCCCTTTTGTGGCTTTCACTGCTGAGTTTCTGTTCTCAGTGGGAAGTCCGTGCGGAGCACCTCTGGCTCAGCACCGAGCCTCGTCCCACGCAAAGGCACACTGTCCTCCGCTGGGACAGGGTCCCAGCCCCTGAGGATGGCTGGACTTGGGTCCTCTGGCTTCCCTTTGGGCTGGAAGTCCTTCCTACACTCGCTGATCATTTTCTTCAGAATTACAGCTTGCCTTTTAAAGTGGGGGTGGGGGGAGCGGGGTCTGTGATCTTTTATTGTGGTATGTGAAATAAATAACTAATATTAAAATGCACTGGTTGTAAGTGCCCATCAACTGATGATAAAGAAGATATGGAATATATATACACACACACACATCTACACATACAATGGAATACTACTCAGCCATAAAAAAGGATAAAATCGTTCTGTTCACAACAACATGGATGAACCTTGAGGGAATTATGTTAAGTGAAATAAGCCAAATAGTGAAAGACAATCTCTCCGTGACTCCACTCATATGAGGAAGTTAAACATGTGGACAAAGAACAGATTAGCGGCTACCAGGGAAAGGCAGGGAGGGGGTAGGGGGTGGGCACAAAGGGTGAAGGGGTACACCTACAACACGACTAACAAACAACAATGTACAACTGAAATTTCACAAGGTTGTAAACTATCATAATCTCAATAAAAAGTTAAAAAAAAATGCACTGGTTGGTGAAAGCACATTTCTCTCTAATGGCCTGGGATTCCCCGGGTCTCGCTGTGGAAGCTCTGATGTGATTTGGGTGGGGATTTCTTTCCAGATCTTTTTCTAGTGCCACCAACCTCTTAACCGCAGCCCTTTTTCACTGAGAAGTGATTGTTCGGCGCGTCCTATGGGAAACGTTCACTTGCTCTTCCATCTGGGCGGGTTTCAGAACAGAACGGGGGCCCGGAGGGGCCGGGGCCCGGCTGGACGGATGAGGCCGAGGTCCACGCTGCCGGCTGGGGCTGTGAGGTCAGGTTTTGTTTGTGAAAGACACTTGACCCTTCAGGAGCCAAGACGACCAGTTCAGCTGTGCCTTGGGAAATGGGCTGTTGGCTGCGAGCTTGGAGGCAGGATCCACCACCATCCCCCAGGCTGGGGGTGGGCTGGCGGTGTGTCCCCATACAGATGGGGCCTGGCTCCGGGACGGCCTCCCTGCTCCACTCCCACCCCGGCCTCCTCTGCCCCCTGCTCTGCTCTGGTTTGCTAGTGACTGCTCCAGCCTACATGAGGTGTACGCTGAGTGGAGGCTGGGCTGTAATTCACAGGGCGCTCTTAGTTTTACTCAAGATTTTGAGATTATTGAGGCCCATTTTTGACAGCTTCCTCTTGTCATTGCTTAAAAAGGGAAGCCAGGAGTTGCTTCAGGGGCTCTGGCCCCTCCTGCCAGAGCTAGGCTGGGCTTGCTCTCCGGGGTGGGCTGGGGTCCCAGAATGGGCTCTGGAGGTGCCGAGCCCTGTCTGCAGGAAGCAGAGGACCCTGGCTGCTCCCAGGGTGCCCCCACTCTGTTGGGGGGCAGGAAAGAAAGGGTTACTGGGGAAGAGGCGTCCAGAGGGGCATCTCCCGGGCACCCCCAGCCCAACTCTAGCAAGGGCGGAGCAGGACCCTGGCAAGGCGGTCCAGAAAACCGTCCTGTTTACCAGCTGAGCACAGTTGCTATTTTAAGATGTTGCTGGAGGGCAGTGTGAGGAATGAGACCCCAGACGGGGGGAGAAAGGGCAGAGGAGAGGCTCGCTGGAGGGGCAGACTGCCACAACTTTGTTCAAAATCCATTTTTGTTCCATAAAGCCACCCCCGAGGGTGTACCCAGAGTGGAATTTCTCTTCCTCCTAGCCCCAGACTAGGAGGCCCAAGCAATGGAGATTATGAATGAGAAAAACCTTTATTCCATCTTCAGATCAGTCTAACAGAATCTGAGGGTGTGCATCTTCCCCTGGCTTTTTAACACATTCAGAACAGCCTGGGGCGGGGGCCGGGGGGGGGGGGGGGCAGGGGTGTGCCCATACCTCCTAACAGTGGCGGAATATTTACATAAAGCTGGGTGTTATCGGTCAGGCAAAGCCCCTCCCTGTCGCCAACGGGTGGGAGCAAGGAGAAGTGCTGCCCCGTGACCCTGGGGTGGCACCAGCCAACCTGGGGGCTGTCTGGAAGGCAGCCCAGAGACAGTGGCTGCAGAGCGATGACCCCGATCCAAGAGTGGGCAGACACTACAGCAGTGAGCGCGGGCTGGCCCCTCCCAGAGCAGACGTGGGGGCGCGGGGACAAACCTGAGTGAAGAGGAAGGGAGCCCCGCCCAGCACGAGCACCAGGGCAGGTGGAGGCCCCCAGCCTCGTCTTTGGCAGAGAACCCCAAGGAACTGCGGCCCCCACGGCTCCTCGGGGCTGGAGAGAAGCTAAGGCACTTGTGAAAACAGCACGGCGGGCACTTGCAGCTCTCTGGGCAGGGTGGGGATCACTCAAAGCAACCACAAAACACATCTAGCTAAAAACCCTTGGCTGACAAATGCCCTTGAGGAGTGCTGGGCAAAGCCCTGGGGGCACACAGGCACTTCAGGCAAGGCTCCACAGCCAGGCCGGGAAGGCAGGGGCTCTCCAGGCAGCGCCGGCGAGAGGGGCCAGCAGCTCAGGGAGGCAAGCCTCGCAGGAGGAGTCCAGGACGGAGGGGAGGCCCCCCGGCGCCCTCCCTGCTCCCCTTACCATCCCTGCCTGCAGCTCAATACACAGGGGGCGGCTGGTAGCCCTCAGTGGTCTCGGCGTTCTGGGTGAAGGGTGGCTGCTGGTAGTTGTCCGCAGACGCACCCGGGTAGGAGGCGTAGGCCGAGCTGGGGTCTGGAGTGGGGTCCACGTAGTTCTGGATGAAGTCGTCCACCCCGGCCTTGTAGCGCTGGTAGGCCAGGCAGGCCAGCACACCCTGCAGGGAGCCCCAGGTTTGGGTTTCTGAGCCCTCCACCACCCTTCACCGAAGACACCATGACCCTGCCCCCTGGCCCACCTACCCAGGAGAAGATTGAAAAGAAGCTGAAGGTGATGGCTGCCCGCGCTGAGTCAGCTCCTACTCGCACATCCTCCATCTTGGTGGCTGCCCACTGGTTGGTAAGGAAGCAGAAACCAACAAACCACAGGAAGGTCCAGAGAGCTGGAGAGAGGCCGGGAGGGCAGGGTCAGCTCCACGGGGGGCTTTCCGGGGGACTGAGAGGGGACCCCTGGGAGAACAGGGAAGCCTGACAGACAGGGATCTCCCAGAAGCCTCCAGGAGCGTAAAGGGCCCTGATGCAGAAGCCAGGGTGGGGACGGGATGCCTGCCTCCCAAGTCCAGCGCCCGTGACACAACACCAGTGGGTTTCAGCAGATGGTCAGAAATCCCTGTGTGCGAGCCTGTCTGCTCAAGGGGGCTGGGGGCCCCGGGCTGCTCCCGAAGGCACCGAGGCCCCGCAATCACGGAACCCTAGAGCTTTTGGGAACACCACCTGCTCCTATTCCCCCCCAAGATCAGGGAGGTGCTGCCGGCAGATACCTGAGAAGAGCAGGTCACCGATGACCAGGTACTTGCGGTCAGTGGCATTGCTGATCTGGGGGAAATAAATGTCGACCACGAAGAAGAAGGCACAGGCCAGGAAGGCCAACACGCCGATGGCGCTGCCGTAGCGACAGGCATCCTCGTTGCGGTTGAACACGCAGTATCTCTGCTGGGACTCGTGGGTATTGCTGTAGCCCTCACCAAAGATGCACGAGAACACGATCAAGGCCAAGATCTGAGGGGGCAGGGGGACAGGGTGAGTGGCCGCCGGACAAACTCCATGGGGGGCCCTGGCATGGGGTCTGGACACCGGCCTCTCCCACTGCTGCCATTCCTCTTTTGGAGGTCGGGCATCGCAGCCCCTTCTGAACATGGGGAGTGAGCCAAAAAGCAAGTTGCCTCCTGCTGCACTGTCCCGACCTTCTCTGGGCGTCTCCAGATACCCGATCACAACCGTCAGCACAAGGGATGTGGCTGGGGATTCCTGGACTGGGGACGAGTAAAGTGGAGGGGGATCTCATGAGAGGGTGCTGCCCCGCCCCAGCTGCCTGTGTGGAGGGGTCATTGAGGTTAGGGTTAGGCTTAGGGACATGATGGGGATGAAGGGCAATCTGTCCACACCAGCCCAACCCTACTTTCAACTAGTTTTAAACACGATGGGCCACAAAGTCACAGAAATCCAGGCTTGGAGTCACCCTCCATCACCTCTGCCTGAGTCACCTCTATGACACCTAACCTTGACCTGAATACCTCAGTGATGGAGGACCCCTCCCACCTCTCACCTCTGAACTGAAACCCATGCCCCTAGACTCCCAACTCCCAGAGCCCCTCCGCCTCCTCCCTGCCCAGGCTGGCCTCTGCAGTCTGGCCAGCTTTCTTCCTCTGAGGACTTCCGGCCTCTTTTCTGTACTGGCCCCTCCCCCTCCGGGGGAACCCCAGTCTGCCTCCCACCCATAGTGGGTCCTGCCCACACAGGGCGCTCCAGGCTGCTCTGACACACAGGCCTGTGGACACGGCTCTGCACTCAGACCTCTGGAGGTCCTGGAGGGGGGGTGGAGGGCGGTGCACCAGCCAGAACTCTGGGAGTGGCTCCAGGCCCTTGGGAACAGCCTCATGCCACCTGTCTCCTCCCCAAACTTCAAGGCCACCGCCCATGCCCGCCCCATGTCAGCAGATACAGGATGATCTGGACACCTGGTTACCCCGGCCTGCCGGCCCAGGCCTCTCCCCTGCCCTGCCCAGGCCTCTCCCCTGCCCTGCCCTGACTGCACAAGCCTCTCTCAATAGGCTCTGGAGCTGGCAGTCACAAGCCCCACCCCCAGCTGGGGATGAGGCCGGAACTCCAGGATGCTGGGAGCAGTGTGCCAGGCCAACTCCTGGCACTGCCATCCCGACACTCGGGACATCAGCTCCTTGGGTCAGACCCCACTGTCCAGCAGGGAGGGTGCGGGGGCGCCACCAGAGCACCTCCAAGGCCCCAGTTCCAGGCAGGCACCGTGTGGCCACTGCAGGCCCAGCCCTCCACCTGCCCACTCTAACACCTTGTCCAGCTCTGGGCTCTGGTTCTCCAAAAGTATGGGATGCAGTCCACCTCCCCCAACCCTGCAACGTGGTCCGGGGTGGGGGGTGGGGTGGGGGGGCTGTGGGGGGGTTTGCCCAGCTAGGGGAGGGGTACACCCTGGGGTTACCCGATCTTGGGTGGGGAAGTAGACCCGTGGCCTGCTCCTGAGCGGAAGGGAGGCCCTGTTTCAGGGCCCCAGGCCGCCCCCCACACCCCACACCCCACACACCACATGGCTTCGGAAAGCCCCTTCCGGTGAATTCCCCAAGCTGGGAGTCGCGGCGCGCCGGCCACCTGCCCAGGCGCTGCCCCAAGCTCCTCCCACTGCCAGCAGGCCGTCGCGCCTGCTCCCCGCGGCGCCTCTCGGCCACCCCGCGTCGGGCCCGGACAGTGGGGGACAGCGGGGCCCAGGGGTGGGCAGGCACGACCCGGGGGCTGGAGCGGTGGGCGGCGGGGCCTGGGAGGTGGGGTGGGCGGCGTCCGGGCCCCACTCGCCGGCCCCAGGAGCGCCGCTCCCCAGCCCCGGCCCTCGGCCGCCGCCACCTGTCGCGCTCGCGGGCTCGAGGCGGCCCCCGCGGGCCTGGCGGCGGAGTCGGTCCCCGCGGCCCCGGCGCCCCCCGCCGGCTCACCAAACACACGGCGCGCGCGACCACCTGCGGCTGCGTCAGGAAGTGCCGCAGGTCGAAGGAGCCGCCCGCCTTGGCCGCGCCGTAGGCCCCGCTCTCCATGTCGCCGTCGCCGTCTCCGCCGCCGCCGCCGCCCCCACCCGGGACCTCCGAGGAGCCAGCCCGGCGCCCCGCCCCGCCCTCGGGCCCGCCCCTGGGGCGTGGCCAGCGCGGCCCCAGGGACCGGGGGCAAAGTGCGACCCGCGGCGAGCCGCGGCGGAGGGGCGGCCGGGGCGCCCCGTCGGCAGGGCCTGCGTTTCCAGCGGCGGACACCTGTCCAGCCGCCGAGTGCTCATTGTCTAGACCCCCTTTCGGCTGGGGTCTCGTCCCCCTCCATACTGGCCTGCGGCGCGACCAGAAAAGGGCCAGAGAGTCCCCAGGAAGAGAGGGACGCCCGGGGTTCTCGCTCCTCTGCCCCACCCATCCTTTGCCCCAGCCCTCCCGCCCCCTCCTCCAGGAAGCCCGGCCAGACGCCCGTCTGGTCCTCACTGCCCAGGACCCAGGCTTATTAGCACCCCCTGTCCTCTCCTCTCCATTCTACTCAAAACCCCCGGCCACAGCCCAGACCCTCTCCCTGCCTGGCCTGTCACTCTTTCCTCCTCTCTGGAGCTAAGCCTGGTATGGGGTCGAGACCCTCTCCACCACCACCACCAATTCTTCCAGGGCTGGGCCAGGCCCCAAGTCTGTGTGTCTTCAGATTTTCAGGCTCCAAGATGGTGTACAGACAGAAACGACGTTCCCAGAGTGATAGGCAGGGGGCAGAATTTAATCCGGTTCTTTCCCCGAAATGGTTCAGAGCCTCTGAACAGGGAAGGCTCTGTGTATGGGGGAGGGGGAGTGCGTCCTCCGGGGGCCACAGGCTGATTCGCAGCAGGGAGGAGTTCCAGACGCCATTTACTAGTGGCAGGTGAGGATTAATGAGGCGGTGCTGGCCAAGTGGGGCCCAGAGTCCTCCCAGGTGAGCTGGACAGCCATGGGATGAGTGGGTGGAGCCAGAGGCCTGGGCCACCGGGAGATGGGGTGCCACTCCAGGAAAGAGGGAGCAGGAGTTGGGGAGGGGGAGGTGGCCCTCAGTGGGTTGGTGCAGGTGGGGCTTTTCACAGTCTACCCCCACCCCCTCCCCAGACCCTCATGGTCTGCAAGCAGCTGAGGGGCAAGGACAGGGGCCCACACAGAGCCCCCTCCTTCCTATGACCTCGCCTTCCCTCTACAGCCCCCACCCCATCCTAAAATCCTCAAGCTAACACCTTGTGTGTTTGCTGAAGAACACCAGGGCTCCAAGAACCTGGGCTGGCAGACTTTTTCTTTATTCAAATAGAGCCCTTCTGTAGGGCGCAAGGACCATGGCTGTCCTGGGGGGACTCTGCAGAGCCTGCATCTTCTGGTCACAACCTTGAGGACAAACGAGTTGGGACTCCAGGTTAGGCAGACACCCCTCCCAACCACCCCCTCCCAAGGCCTCCAGGAATTTTATGGTGCCAGGTGTATCAGTGCCCTGGGCGGGAGGAGGGGTGTCAGGCTGAGTCACTCCACCAAATTAAGGAAGGGCAGTGAATCACCCGGAGGGCAAGCGCTGGCCCCTGGTCACATGGCGAGCGGGATCCACGCCTCAATACCTCATTTTATAGAAGGGGAAACTGAGGCTCAGAGAGGTGACATGGCTAACCCAGAAATGTGGCCTCTGGAGAAGACAGAAAGTGGGAGAAGGGGACCCAGAGGGGAGACAAGGAGAGTGCCAAGGAGAGACTCCCGGACAGTGCCCACGGAAGAGGCTGGCCAGGGGACAGGAAGAGAACCAGGAGGCAGCAGTGCCTTAGGAACTAAGGGAACGAAGTTCATGGGCAGAGGTGACCGCTGCCCAAGGCCGGACAGGTGGAGCACACAGAGCCCTGTGGTGCCCGGGGTCGGACAGCACAAAGGCCCTCATCACTTTAGAAAAAAATTTTTTTTTAAGTATTTTTCCTTTTTCTTCCCAAAGCCCCCCGGTACATAGTTGTATATTTTTTTTAACTGTGGGTCCTTCTAGTTGTGGTACGTGGGACACCGCCCCAGCATGGCCTGAAGAGTGGTGCTGTGTCCGCGCCCAGGATCTGAACCGGAGAAACCCTGGGCCGCTGAAGTGGAGCGCACTCAGCCACGGGGCCGGCCCCCAGCCCTGGTCACTTTACAAGTCAGTGAAGTGATGGTCCTGGAGAGGGGACCCCAGGAGGTCTGGCCCCTGCCTCTTGTCACCAGCTGGGGAGCACTGACCTGTGTGGTTCCCATGGAGGGCAGAAGCCCCTGATGGACCCTGGTCCCCGGGAGGCCTCATCCCCCGTCCCAGCACCCCTCCTCAGACCCATAAGGAACATGGGAGAGGCCACACAGAGGCCAGCTGGCTCCATTGCAGGGCGGCTCGGAGCACTGGTCAGGGTCAGAGAAAGCCAGGAATGGGCAAGCCCTCAGCAGGCACCTGGCACACAGTAGGCCCTTAATAAACTTTTGCAAGTCATGCACAAGCTATCTGGCCCTTTCTTTGCCCTGGCGGCAGCCCTGCCCTATAAACCCACTGCCCGCTGCTCTCCAGCCAGGGCCCCTGTGGTCCAGGCAGGCCGTCAGCAGTTCTCACTCCTCCACACATCCAGCACCCATGTCCTACCTGGGCATCAGGGTCCAGCCTAGCATCGAGGCGGTGACAGCTGCAATGGAGGCAAGGCTGCCAGCCAGCACGATGGTGGGTACCTGGGGTAGCTGTCCTGTGAGGGGGTGGGGGCTGCTGGGCTGGGCTTCCTTTGGGGCCAGGGGAGGCCTGGCTGCTGCACAACGCCCATCCCTGCTCTTGGCAGTGGCCGGGCGGAGGTCTTCCACTTCCCACTGCCCTACCCAGAAGGGCCAGCTGCCCCCGGGAAGCTGAGGGGCCCTCTCACCTGGCGGCAGGAGCCTGAGGGGGCTGAACTGGACACCGTGGTCATTTTCAGCTTGGCACCAGAACCAGCTCGACGTCTGATTCAGTGAGAGGGAGAAGTTGGCAGGGCGCCCATCGTTGTGGCTCTCCTTTGTGTAGAGGAGCCCATCCTTTCTGAGCAGGCTGTAGGTGATGGGTGGGCTGCCCAAGGCCGCCCCGCAGGAAATCTCTACCCTGGGTCCTGATCCTCTGTCCAGTGGAGTGAAGATAGCCTGCAGCTGGGCCACGGGATCTGGCAGGGTGGGAGAGGGTGGCACAGGTATGGCTGGGAGACTTTAACACCCTCCCCCCAGCAAGTTCCCTTGTTACAAAATGCCTAATGAGCCTGGAGGCCTAACTGTGACTGCCACCTCCTCCAGGCAGCCTTCTGAATTACTCTCTCTGCCTTGTGTCTGAGCTTCTACCCTACTTGCAGTATATACCACACAGTTTCACATTTGTTTTTACTCTCTTGTGGTATATTCTGGGTTGCCAGACTTAGCAAATAAAAATACAGGAACTCTAGTTAAATATAAATTTCAGATAAACGATGAATAATCTTTTAGTATGAATATGTCCTATGCCAAATTTAGCTGGCAACCCGTTTTACATTCTTTCAGTCTTGGCTCTTTTACTGAATTACATGCTCCTTGTGGACAAGAACTGTCACTTAGAAGATTCTAGATTCTAGAATCCTCCAGGGCCTTCAACCTAATGCTCCAAAGAGCTTTACTGAGGAGTAACACCCACCACCTACAAAAAGCTCCCAGCGATCCTTTCTGCTTGCCTGGGGGAGGTACTATTGTTATCTTTGTTTTTTTTTTTTCTTTTGGTGAGGAAGACTGTCCCTGAGCTAATATCCATGCCAGTCTTCCTCGATTTTGTATGTGGGATGCCCCCAAGCGTGGCTTGATGAGCGGTGTGTAGGTCCGCACCCAGGATCAGGACCGCAAACCCGGGGCCGCTGCAGCAGAGCGCCTGAACTTTACCACGCCACCGGGCCAGCCCCGATATTGTCTCTGTTCTGCAGATGAAGCAGTGGAGGCCCAGAGAGGTTGGACGACTTGTAAGTGTCGAGCCCCCACAGCCTGTGAGCGTGGAGATTTGAACCCACGACCGGGAGTGCTCCAGCAGAGCCAGGACTCTCCGCCCCAGGGCTGCCTTCTCCGGGTGCAGGTCCAGGGGGTCAGAGTCCGCCAGTGGTCAGGCAGCTGTCCCTGGACCCCCTCCATGCCTTCCGCCAGGAGGACGCCTGAGTTCCAAGCAGGATAGAAATGGGAAGAGCGCAGGCTTTGGAGCTGGAGGGAGCGGCGTTTGAAACCAGCCTTTGTCACTTGCGAGCTGGGGGGCCTGGGCACCGTCTTCACCCCCAAGAGCTTTAGCTTCCACCTCTATAGGCCGAGAACCAGGAACCCCCAGCCCTGAGTGCTGAGAAGGTTAAATAAGATAAAGCACAAAAGAGCTACTTCATCAGCAGGACTTCTGAGCTCTACAAATGGGGCCCAGGCCATTGTCACTTCTGCCAGGGGACAGTGTCCTGGAGGCCCAGCCAGGAACTACATCTGACCCGAGACCGGGCCCTAAGGGACTGACAGTGGCCCTTGGAGGCGGGCAGCCTGTCCTGTCCCCACCCTCCTGCCTTCATCCCTCTCGCCCCAGTCCTCACGATTCCCACCCCTAGGAGCTTCTGTTTTTCTTCCAGACCCTGCACCCCACATGCCCCCACCCCTGCCCCCTGAGCGCTCAGTGCTCCCAGTACATCTGCAGCTTGGCGCTGTCCACGCTCGTGACCCCAGTGGCAGCCGCCCGGCAGGAGTAGGTGAGCAGGTCTGGCCTGGACTTGAGTATGATGTTGAGGCTGAAGGGGACGGGCTCAAGGGTGTCCACCTCCTTCTTGGCGACCTCAATGTCCTTGCTCCCCAAGAGGGAGTAGGGGATGGGCGGGGCCGTCTGGGGTGAGTGGCAGGTTATGACAACTCTGCGGCGTCTGGGGAAAACCTCCAGGACTTGGTAGCAATGGAGACTTCAGGGATGGTTTCTGGGAGGCGAGACGGTCCGGGGAGGAAGAAGGAAACCAACATTTATCAAGCACCTTAAGAAAATGCTGGTTTGGCAGGTCCTCAGTAAGTTAAAGAATTCCCATATGACCCCACAATTCCACCCCTGGATATACACCAAAGGAATTGAAAACCAGGGTTCTAACAGGTTCACATGCACGCATGTTCACAGTAGCACCGTTCAGAATCACCGAAAGGTGGAAACAGCCCACACGTCCATCAACGGATGAATGGATAAAGAAAATATGGTCTATCCACACAACGGAATATTATACAGCCATAAAAAGGCATGAAGTACTGATACCTACTGATAGTGTCCTTGCTGCAAGAGAGACGAACCTTGAAACATGATGCTACGTGAACCACACAAAAGGCAACATAGTGTATGATTCCATTCCTCTGACACCCAGAATAGGAAGATCCCCAGAGACAGACAGCAGATTGGTGCTTCACAGGGGCTTGGTGGAGGGGATGGGGAGTGACTTCTTAATAGGGATGGGGTTTCCTTTTGGGGTGATGAAAATGTTGTGGAAGGAAACAGAGGTAGTGGTTGTACAGCATTGTAAATTTACTAAATGCTACCAAATTATCACTTTAAAATGGTTAATTTGGTGCTATGTGAATTTCACCTGAACCAAAAAAAAAAAAAAAAAAAAAAGGCAGCAGCTCCTGGAAAAAGTTCTGCCTCCTGGGTTCAGGCTCTTTCTGCCCGGAATCTTTTCCTAGCACACAGCGCCCAGAGGACTCCTCCCTAGACCCAGATCAAAACCCACTCTCCGGGCGCGCCCAGAGGCGTTCCTCCATCTACGGCGGCTCTCTGCTTGGAAGGAAGCTTTCTCCTTTGCAGGCAGATCCTGGAGTCGATTTTGACGCAGAAGACATCTCTAAGGTCTTCCTGTGGGGCCTTGTGCTGCCCACACTGAGGGGGTCTGAAGGGGTTGGGATTAAACAGCGCTGCCTTCTGAATGGGGGTTGGGGGGAGGGGGTTGTATTATTAATGCTGGTGACCTACCTGCATTTTCTTTTTTTTTTTTTTAAGATTTTATTTTTTTCGTTTTTCTCCCCAAAGCCTCCCAGTACTTAGTTGTATATTTTTAGTTGTGGGTCCTTCTAGTTGTGGCATGTGGGACACCGCCTCGGCATGGCCTGATGAGCGGTGCCGTGTCCGCGCCCAGCATCCGAACCGGCGAAACCCTGGGCTGTGGAAGAGGAGCACGTGAACTTAACCACTCGGCCACGGGGTTGGCCCCTGCATTTTCAAGACTAGTGTGTAGGGGTCGTACTTGGGGGGCAAGTGGAGAGAAGGGTCTAAATATCTAAATCTAAGTGCCACATCCCTCAGACATCGCCCTGGCCCTGCTGCCATGCTGACTCTGGAAACCGCACTGCAATCAGAAAACTGCTCATTGAGGGGCCAGCCAGGTGGCACAGCGGTTAAGTTCACAAACTCCACTTTGGCGGCCCGGGCTTCACTGGTTCAGATCCCGGGTGTGGACATGGCACCGCTTGGCAAGCCATGCTGTGGTAGGCGTCCCACATATAAAGTAGAGGAGGATGGGCACGGATGTTAGCTCAGGGACAATATTCCTCAAAAAAATAAAAAAAAGAAAAGAAAGAAATTAAAAAAAAAAAAAACAACCTACTTACTGAGCAGAGAACTGGGACAAACTAGAACGTGATGTTCTTCCGAGGCGTTTTCTAGGAGCCCTAAAGTTTCTGACCACTAAGCGTATTTCTTTCTAGACCAGTACTTCTCCAGCAGGAATGATTTTGCCTCCAGGGGGCCTTTGTGTCTGGAGACATTTTTGGTTGTCTTGAATGGGGGGTGCTCCTGGCATCTAGTAGGGGAGAGGCCAGGGATGTCGCTAAACATCCCGCAATGCACAGGACCGCCCCACAGCAGAGAATGAGCCAGCCCCAATGTCAGCAGCCTTGAGGCTGAGAAGCTGTGGTCTAGACAGCCAGCAGCAGCAGCTCGTGGAATCAGGATTCTTCCCCTGCCCAGGGCTGCACAGACACCGGCAAACGTTTTCTCATCCGTGCCTCTTGCTAAACATCATGAGAACCCCCATTTTTCTAACACTTTCTTTCAAACAGGCTTTCATGCAAATGATTTGAAGTGAAGCTATATTGAGAGTTCAGTCTACTCTCTGGGCACCGTTTTGCAAACTGCTGCCAATAATTTCGTCAGGGCAACCCTGGGGCCAAAGGGCCAACTCCTCACAGCCAGAGGACGTTCCTGGGGCCGGAATCTGGCTCCACAGGGGGATGCAGGGGCCCAGGGCTGAAGTGTCGTGACACTTTTCTTTTTTGTGTGTATGAGGAAGATTTGCTCTGAACTAACACCTGTTACCAATCTTCCTCTTTTTTTTCGCTTGAGGAAGATTAGCCCTGAGCTAAAATCTGCACCAATCCTCCTCTGTTTTGCATCTGGGTTGCCACCACAACATGGCTTGATGAGTGGTGCAGGTCTGTGCCTGGGATCTGAACCCCAAAACCCTGGAACCCCTGAACTCCGACCACTGACACGGAGCACGCCAGACTTAACCACTACACCACATGAGGGTCCGGCCCCTCGTGACACTTTTCTTTTTGCTCTTTTCTTGGAGGGAAATGCCCTTGACTTATAAAAGTAGAAGGAAAAAGCCCGCCCTCATTTCCATTTCGAGCGCCCATAATAGAAGCTTGATTTACATAAGTTCACAGATGGAGCCGTATATTCAGTCGCTGTGCAGTGGGGCAGGCACTTTTTATTCTAACAAGACTCGTGTGGGCGTTTTTCTTTTGCTCATTTAGTTTGTGAGTCTGGCCCATCAGTAATGTGGCCTGTCATTTAATTAAAAATTCATCAGCTTTGTCAGAACACTAGATGGATGGGATGGCACACTTAGAATTGGATGAAGTGATGACAAGGCCACCCTCGGGGCTGGAAGTGGAGGCAAGCAGCAGCCCGGCGGAGCGGGTGGCCTGGCAGAGCCTCCTGCTGCTGTTAGAGAAGGAGCCACCTGGGGCTTGTGCCGGGCCGGACAGTGAGCTGCGCCCGGCGCGGCTCAGAGGCCCTTCAGGCTCGCCTCTGCTTTCTCCAGACTTGTCTCTGTGATAACCGGAACCCTGGAGAGTTGAGTCCCAACCCTAGAGATCCAGTTCGTTAGGCCTGAGGTGGGGCCCGGGGATCTGATCTGAACAAGCAGCCCACCTGTTGAGGGTTGAATTGTGTCCTCCGAAAAGATATTTCAAGTCCTCAACCCCAGTACCTGGGAATGGGAACTTATTTGCAAAAAGCCTTTAGAGATGTGAGATGTACTGCAATTAACTCACACTGGGTTAGGGTGGGCCCTAATGAGAGAAGAGACACAGACACAGACACACAGGGAGAAGGCCACGTGAAGGTGGGGCAGTCAGGAGCGATGCTGTCACTAGTCACAGAACGCCCAGGATTGCCAGCAGCCGCCCGAAGCCAGGAGAGAGGCCTGGGCCGGGTTCTCCCTCAGGGCCTCCGGAGGGAACCAGCCCTGCCCACACCTTGATGTCAGCCTTCTGGCCTCCAGAAGTGGGAGAGAATACGTTTCTCCCTCCCGGTTTAAACCACCTGGTCTGTGGCACTTTGTTCCGCAGCCGCAGGAAGCTGATCTAGCACCCCTCCAAGGGACTTAGGAAACGATCCGGAACCTCACCCAGAAACACCGACAGGGTTTAGGAGTAATGGAGCCCAACCCGCCCCGGCTCCTGACCCTCTCCAGGGAGCACACGCTAGTCTGAATCTCCCTTCAACCAGATCCTCTCCCCCACTCAATGAGAACACCGCCATCTGCTCATGACAGCCCCACAGGAGGCCCAGGCTCCCAGGTCACCCTCGTCTTCCTGCCCCACCCATTACAGGGCTCTGCAGCCCCCCTTCACATGCCGCCTCCCAACATTCCCAATACTGAAATCCTCCCCCTGCGCCCTCTGGGACGCGGGATCGGTGGGCAGCCCACATCCTTATGACCCTCAGCTCTCCTCCGACACCTGTCTACTCCTGATGGAACCAGCCTCCCTTCCCCAGGGCAGGACCTGCACCAGCAGGATCCCCACGGCCTTCCTGCACCGGCCTGGGACGCCGGGGCGACATCCCCTTAATATTTCTGGATCATTCTCCCTCCTTCCTCCCTAAACACCAGCCTTGAGCTTCCTGTCTTCAGACATATTCCACCCTGCCCCTCTGGGTTGCAAGGGCTTAGAACTGCCCATCATTCCTTGACGATTCTTGCCCCTCTTTCCTACTATTCTTGATACCACACTTGCCATAATTCTTGGCGATTTCAAAATACGCAGAGATCGTCTTTCTGTTATCCTGGCTCTTCAACGTCTTGACTTCCAATGTCTTGTGCCCAACTTCTCACTTCCATCCAAGTCGTTTCGGCTGCATCATATTCCGTTGTAAGGCCACGCTTTCTTCAGCCAACCCTTCCAGTTGCTTAGAGTCACCTTCTGATGCTCTTTCTTTCCCACCCCATCCCATCCATCAGCAAATGCTGTTGGCCTGACCTTCCGAATTTCTTGACCACTTCTCCTGCCCTTTCTGGCTGCCACCCAGTCCCTCCTCTGGATCCCGGGATCAGGCTACTGGCTCTCTCGGATTCAGCCCTTGATCCCCAGCCCATCTCTTCTAACACAGCAGCCAAAAGGACCCCATGAAGGGTAAATCGGATCACGTCTTCTGCTGCAAGCGTTCCCATAGCTGCACCCCCAGGCCCTCCCTACTCGGCCCTCTCCCACCCCTGACCTCACCCAACACCCCTCCCCCTTGCTTCCTGGGCTCTGGCCACGCAGGCCCTTGTCCAGGCATGTCCTGCTCTACCAGCTTCTCATGTCCTTGCTTGGGTGTCTCCTTCTCAGTGAGGACTTCCCAGTAAATGCTGCCTTCCCTCCCTACCCCCACCAGGTATTCCCTTGCCCTCTTCCCTGCTCACTTTTCTCTAGCACATTCTAGCACACTGCAGAATTTGCTCCTTTTATTGTCAGCTCTGCCCCCAGCCCCACTAGAATGTAAGCTGCGTGAGAGTAGGATCTTTGGTTTGTGGCTGCACCTTGTGTACCATCCTGGGGCCCAGAGGCGTGCCGGGCACCCAACAGACGCTCAGGCAGTATTTTAGAATGAATGCATGACTTATCAATTGGTCTCTTAGGAGTTTAGTTAGCAGGCCTTGCTCTGCCAGAGTTTGAGCAGAAGTTGGCAGTGGGAGGAGGGGGTCGGCCCTGCCCTGGTACTTCCCGGAGACTCAGATGTGCTGCTCTCTCCTTTTAGAAGAAACCCCAGGATGTGTTTGTTTTTAAAGCAAATGAGGAAATGATAGTTCAGCCTGTGCGGCATTCAAGTGAGACCCGCCCTTCAGTGGAATAGCGGTGATGCCAGCTCTGCAACCAACCCCGTGACTGGGGAAGGTACCAAGACTGCCCGGGGGGAGACCCCGCACCCCCATCCCCACCCTGAGTGGAGACCACTTTGACACCCCCTTTAAGGGTCACAGGGCAAGAAATGGGGGCAGGAGAAGGGAGGGGAACAGAAAAGTGGAGGAGCGAGGTTGAGGGGAGCAGGCTGGGCCAGTGTCCCCTGCCCCCCACTCTGTACCACCCGGACGGACGACTGGCGGCCCCTGACCTCTCCTGCTGCCTCTGAGAGTAGAGAGTAGGGCAGCCTGTGTCTGCGGGACCTCTAGGGGAGCCCGGACTTCCCCATTCTCTCACTGCCCTCCTTCAGGCCAAGCGCCCCACCAGCATGCCACCCGCCCTCTCTGGGGTCACACCCACCCCGCAGATCAGGCACCTGTGGTAGAGCAATAGGGATACGCCCTTTGTCCCCACCACTCCCCCAACAGCCCAAGGGGAAGCCAAGCGCTCTCCCTGCCCCACGTCCCCTGGAGGTCCCACCTGGCCGGCTCAGCCTGCTTCTCGCCACTCCCCCAGGGCCCTGCAGGGGCCGAGGCCAGGCGCCAGTTTCCAGCTGTCCACCAGCAAACACCCCGACTCCATCAGCAACCCCCTGCCAGCCAAGGCACCCACCGGAGCTGGGGGCCCTTCTCCCTCCAGTGTGCTGGGCTACTCACCTCCCTCAGGGTCCACGGAGAAACTGCTGGTGACTGTGAGAGAAGGGAGGGTGGTAAGGAGCGGGCCCAGGAAGGGGGGAGGCTGGAGAAATCTCCTACTGAGGCCAGAAGGAAGGCCTAGGACTCAGCAAGTGTCTTCACTCACAAAAGCTCTTTCAAGGGGCCGGCCCCATGGCAAAGTGGTTAAGTTCACCCGCTCTGCTTCGGCGGCCCAGGGTTTTGCCGGCCTGGATCCCGGGCATGGACATGGCATCGCTCATCAGGCCATGCTGAGGCGGTGTCCCACGTGCCACAACTAGAAGGACCCACAACTAAAAATATACAACCGTGTACTGGGGGCATTTGGGGAGAAAAAGCAGGAAAAAAAAAAAAGAACATTGGCAACAGTTGTTAGCTCAGGTGCCGATCTTTAAAAAAAAAAATCCTTTTGAGCCCACAACTTTTAGTATCATCAGCCCATTTTTGCAGATGAATAAATTAGTGGGCCCAGAATTGTGAAGCAAAAACTGGGCCACATGTGCAGTAAGGGGCTGGTCTGAGACTCAAACCCAGGTCTTTCCCTCTCTGCCCTGTGCTTTCGGAGGTGCCCATGCCTCAGGTCCCACTTCTCCTGTGCTCCCTAGCACCCCTGTCCCCTGAGCCTGCCTCCGCGAGGCTCTGGCAGCAGCCCCCTCCCACGATGCCCCCAGTGGGCTCACCTAGAGCAGCCAAGCAGAGGAGCAGAAGGAGCCTCATGGTTCTGCCAGTGTGGGGCCCTCTGCCTGGACTCAGAAGGGCATCCTGGGTGCTCCCTGGGTGGTGCCTGCAGTGGAGAGGTAACCTGGAGGCCACAGCACCCCAGGGCGGGACCCAGAACAGCAAACCCCTCCCACACCCCCAGGGAATTAGGAGGCGTCTGGGGCTTGGAGCCAAACCAGGGCTCACACTCAGCTGCCACTGCTGAGCTGTAGGACCCCGGGCTTGCTCGGTTGGTATATGTCCACGTCCTAACCCCGGAATATGTGAGGTTGCCCGACGGGGGGAATTGAGCTTGCCGATCTGCTGATTTGGAGATGAAGGGATCATCCTGGATTATCGGGGTGAGCCTGATGTAATCACGAGGGTCCTTCTGCAGCTCCCCTGGGAGGCTGACTTACGGGCGGGAGAACTGGTGGGCTGGACCCCTGTCAGAGAAGCAGGAGGGGAGGCGGCTTCCGCCCATCTCACCCTGGTTCATTCGTGACCACGTGCTGGGCATCTGCTAGGTGGCCGACGCTGGGCTCAGCCCCCAAAGGAAACCTCAGACTGGAAGAGGCCCCTGGTCACCCAGGAATGTGACTGGTTTGGCAAGTGCTGTGTAAATCCTGCCCTGAAGCTCAGAGGGCAGAGGAGCCCTTCCTCATGCCCCACAGACAGGGGGTCATTCCCCAGGGACCTGGACCCAACGCCAGCTGGACCAAGAGGAGGCCAAGCCACCTCACAGATGGAGCCTGGCCTCGTCAGCAGCCTGTAGCAGAGGTCCTTGGATCTGGAGAGAAGGGTGGAGGTGAGCAGGGCCTCTCGGAACAGGAAAATCCCCCAGTGCTCTGAGGCCAGACCAGGGCTGGACCCTCAGCGTTGGGGGCTCCAGCAGCCTGGAGCACAGAGACAACAGACGGAGCAGGTGAGGGGGGACCAGGACCAGCCAGCCCCTTTCTGGCCAAGTCCACTCAGTCTGTGCAGGGAAAACTCGTTTGGCTGCCTTCCCCAGGGAAGGTGTCCCACCCGCAGGGAATCATTTGTTTCCACTGAGGGCTGCTGTCCCCTTCAGAGCCTGGCAGGTGAGCCACATGCCCACCCCTGGCACGGTCCAGGAGTGGGCATCTCACCCAAGGAAGGCCAATTACAGTCCTGTCCTGGGGGTCCCCTTGGTCCTTCTGGGGGCACCTGCTGTGTTGGCTACCTCAGTGGTCCCCTTTCTCCTGGGTGGGCAAGAGGCAGCATCTGTCACTTGCCACCCACAGTCCTGACTCGGACCCCTGGGGCTGTGCCCTCTGGACCCACCTACCTCTCTGCATTTGGGAAGCGGAAGCATTTTCTTAGTTTCCTAGCAAAATTCCCTTCCAAAAAGTCAGCTTTCACTTCTGCTGAAGGAGGCCCGGGGGAGGAATTGAGGATTGAAGGGGACAGAGGGGTCACCGGGGAGGCGGGCTGGCTGCCAGGGTCTCAGCTGCTGGCACCCTGTTGCCTGAAGGCCCAGAAGCTCGCCCATTTTCCTCCGCTGTGCTCAGGGGACCGGACTCACGAGAAGCCTCCTGTTAGTCTCGGTGTTTGTGGGGAGCCAGAGTAAGAGGAGCGGCGGGCGGACTCGAGGGACATTTCCCCAGGCCTTGGGGGGGCCGGGGGGCATCTTTCCTGCCCCGGCCCGGGCACCCCTCGCTGTGTGCCCATTAGACTGAGGTGTCATTTCTGGAGGGGGCTTGTTCTCTGAGATGTCCTGTCTCTCCTCTCCACAGGCTTCAGGTAGGACAAGACTGACTAGGACACACCAGGTCACTCCAGGCCACCTCGACTCAGTGGAGCTGGGGCGTCCTCAGAGCTCTCCAGTCACCCTCTGTGGACTGATGCTCTGGGAATTTTGCCTACAGAGGGCCAGTCTCCTCCATGTAAATGGCCTTACCGGCATCTGCTTGTTTCCCTCATGTCATGTTCCTGGGAGGGTCCCACCTGGTGGGAGTCTGGGCTGGGTTTTCTGGGCCCACGTGGCTGTGAGGTTCTGAAGCTGGGAGCCCTCTCAGGGCCCGGCAGGGCAAATCCAGGGACCCCTGAGACTGATGGGGACTCCTGCCCTCCTCGCTCTGCAGTGGGCTCGTGCACCTGGAGAGCCCTCACTCCAGTTATCGCAATAACCCCCCAGGTGTCCCCCTGTCTCAGGGCGGCTTCTTCACTGCTGGCAGAGCGGGCTCCTCATTTCACAGTCCCCTGGCTCCCCATCACCCACAAAAAATCATCCAAGCCCCTGGCATGTGCCATCGGTGGGCTGGTTCCGTCGTCACTCCAACCATCCTCGCGTGCCCCGCAGCCCCGTCTAGAGGCCCCGATTCCCAGTTTCCCCGGCCCAGCTCCACACGGGCCCATCTCCACACCTTTGCGCAGGCTGTTCCCTCTGCCTTTGTCTCCTGTCTGGATCCTCCCTTCCTCCAAGGCCCCAGGAAACCCGCCTGCCAAAGGGGATGGCTCACTTCTGAGCCGCTGGGTGGTTTGCGGGGCAGTCAGGGCCCCGGGGAGCCCGGGGTCCACTTCCCATCTCTCCCACGTTGCTCCTTCAGGCCGCCGACCACATTGTAGGAAGACCTGGACTCCTAGGATGGGCAAGGTGCCCTTCCATCACTTTATAAGTAATTACTCATTTAATCCTCACAACCACTCAGCGGAGGGTGGCGCCACCCCCGTGTTTGGCCCCTTGTAACCGGAGGCCCGGAGTTTGATTTCCGAGGTCTCACAGCTCGACTCCTCCCTCCCAGCTCCTCGGAGCCTGGTGTTGCAGCTGTTGGCTCTCAGTAAACATTCCCTGAGGGCATGGGAAGGTGGCAAGGAAAGAGCCTTGAGGTTGCAGCACAGCCTTCTCCCACCTTGGTGGCCTCAGCATCACCCTGGGTCCATTAAACACATCACTGGCCCCGACCTGAGAGTTCCTGACTCAGGAGGCGGGGCCCGAGAACCGGCATGTCCAACAAGTTCCCAGGTGAGGCTGATGCCGATTGGCCCTAAGCTGCCGATTAACAACGTGTGTTACTGTCATGTGGGCCAGGCTGGTGGCCCTCCCCAGACTCACGCAGCACAGAGCTTCGAGTGTGTCCCTTGTAGCCCGAGAACTGGGCCTCGCACTTGTTGACACACTGGTGGGTCATGTGATGCTGGCTGAGTGGGAGAGCACAGCAACCGGACGAGCTGAACTTGCCAAGCCTTTAATGGCCATGTGAAGCCCAGACCTGAGGGCACCAGGCCAGAGCAGCCCGGACGCTTGTCTGGCCAGGAATCCAGCCAGGCGCTGGGCCCCCGGGGGAAGCAGAGGCTTTTCAAGCACGTCCTGGGGTTTCTCCTGACCTTCCCTCCTGACAGTGCTTGAGGCCAGCAGTTCTCAACCCTGACTGCCAGCCAGAGTCACCTGGGAGCTTTAGAAAGTCCTGAAACCTGGCTGCGGGCTGCCCCCGGATCCCTCGCCTCAGTGTCGCTGGCACAGGGCCAGCTTCTGAGGGCTTCTCGGCTGTTCTCCAGGCTGACAACTGTGGACGGAGGCTCTGCAGCCTCGAGGCCCAAGGCTTGGGAAGCTGGGACAGGGCCCTGGGTGGCATCCAGCCCTGCCTGCCTGGCCTATTGGCTCTGTCACCAGACCCCCTGCCCCCAGGCCCACACTCCCTATCTCACAATGCAGGTCTGTACATGCCTAGCGGTCCTGGTCTGTACGTGCCTAGCGGTCCTGGCGTGTCACCTTTGCCCCCACTGTTCCTAAAGGTCAGCTCAATCTGGGATGGGACACAGAGCAGGGTGGGAGAGCAGGTTCTGCAGACGGCGTGGCTAAGGGCCTCTGTTCTGCTCTCCTGAGGCCTCTTGTTGATGTGCGGTTCCTGGGTTAGAATATGGGACCACAAGGAATCCTGCCAGGGAGAGGCTGACCACCGACCCCCTGTTCCTCAGACTCAAGTCAGCCCTGTGACAAGAGGCTTTCACGTAGTGAGGTATATGGGGGGACTGTTCGGTTCCAAACTGATGCGGCTTGAACTAAAGAAGCCTGACTTACGCCCTGTCCAACACACACTGTACCTCTGCTCTAACCATTAAAGTGAAGAACGCACTCTCTTGAGATGGGAATGTGTGCATCCCCTCCCATATTAGTCCCTTTCCCAGCATCAAGGTGGCGCTGACCTGCTCATTTGCAACTGAATACCTCTCTGAACTTTGATGAATAGTATCCTGGGTGTGTTTAATGTATGTTCTTTGTTCTAAAAAAGGTATTAGACAGTCCTGGAAACCATGCTTCTCTGGAACGCTTTCTTCCTTTCTGGAAAAGACCTCCCCGGGTTATAATCCTCACGTTGGCTGGAGTAGAACTCGCCGCCTTTTTTTGAGGAAGATTAGCCCTGAGCCAACTACTGCCAATCCTCCTCTTTTTGCTGAGGAAGACTGGCCCTGAGCTAACATCCGTGCCCATCTTCCTCTACTTTATATGTGGGACGCCTTCCACAGCATGGCTTTTGCCAAGCGGTGCCACGTCTGCACCCGGGATCCAAATCGGCGAACCCCAGGGCCACCAAAGCGGAACGTGCGCACTTAACCGTTGAGCCACCGGGCTGGCCCCTCACTTTCTCTCTCTTCACTATGGAATGGTCGACACCTGCAGGTCCCCAGGGTGAGGGACAGGAACAGCCTCCAAGCCCCATGCTGGGGCCGTGTGGCTCTGGAAGGCTGAGTCCAGGCCCAGCTCTGCCCCTAGTTGACTCACATTACTCAGCCTCTGTGGGTCTGGACTGCGTGACCCGTGAAGACCGACTAACAGGAGATTGTGTGTGGGGAGGACAACACCGGCTTACTCTAACTGTGGCTGGGTCTTCCCTTCACATGGGGGAGGGCTCCAAACTTTGACAACGGTGCTCCCCACTCCAAACAATTTCTGAGCACTCCCAATGCATGTATATCTATAAATTGCATTTATGGGTTACTACACTAATATATTATTTACATTATAAAACATTCAACAAAAATAGACTCTTTAAAGAACAGATAAAAATATAAATACAAGTTCCCATATTTTCTTCCTGCTGCCCACTTTGGCGTGCCCTGCTGGAGGGCCCACTGAGAGGGGCAGTGGTCACCAGGGGGCAGGAGAGTGGGGTAAGGGGGACCCTGGGGCAGGAGGCGGGTGGCTGCAGGACTGGCCCTGAGGAGGCTCTGGGTGGAGGCGGGGGTGTCAGTGCTAGCGGGATTGACAGGCGGGAACCGGGGCACCGCGTAGCCCAGCGGGACTCATGAGGGACGTCCCGGCCTGAGGGGTGTAGGGCCAGGGGAGCCCGGGCACGGGAATCCGGGGCAGAAGGATCGGGGGCGCGAAGCTCGGGAGTGCGGGAACTGGGGTCCCAGAGAGTCGCCGGGGTTGGGATCCGGGAGCAGCCGCGACAGGTCCTCCACCAGGTGCCACTTCTCCTGGACTTGCTGCAGGGGGAGCCAGCGGCCGGTTACGAGGGGCGCCTCCGGCCACGTGGGGGCGGTGGAGGCCGCAACTGGCCTGGCGCGGGCAGCTCAGCGGTCAGCCGGCCCCGGCCCCGCCCCTCCGGCCCTGCCCCACCACAGACCACGCCCCCAAGCCAGAGACCACGCCCCGTCACTGTTCCGGGTCCGGTCTGACGCCCGGCTCTGGTCCTGCCTAGGGTTAGAGACCACGCCCCCTCCAGAGTCCCGCCCCCAGCCAGAAGCCACGCCCCATTACATCCCGTCCGCATCTCCAGAAGGCCCCATCACGGTCCCGCCCCGGCCCGGTCCGAGACCACGCCTCCACCAAGGTCCCGCCCCCGCCCTCAGCCCAAGGCCACACTCCTAATAAACCCCTGTCTCCAAGCCTCGGGCTATATCCCTAACGTCTGACTCCCGACCTGAGTGAGGCCACGCTTGAGAAGCATGTTCCCTCCTTCCGCCTTCCCCGTTTTTACTGCCAGCCTCAGGCCACACTCCCGGACAGTCTCGCCCGCAGTTGGGAGTCACCCAGCCTGGCGGACACTCACCCACATCAGCTGCTTCCGGAGCCTCTGGATGGCCCTCGCATTGGCGTGGGACTGGGAGACACACACGGTCAGGACAAGGCTTTGGACAGATGGGGATTCAAGGTCAGTCGCCCCTCCCCACTTGCGCCCTCCCCACTCGAGTCTCTTAGAAATGCTTCCTGGGGTCTTCTCTCTGCCTGCCTTCGCAGACACCACTTTCTCTCTCCTCTCCTTCCCTCCCCGGGTCGCTGAGCCCCTCTCCTCGAAATGTCAATAAGTATAACTCAACAGCTGCACTGGGCTTCCAGCGCGTCTGCACCAGGCAGTGTGCCTCCCCTGTGGTCATTTAAGGTGCCTGCTTTACAGGTGAGGCCCCGTGGGGGCTGCCCAGGGGCACAGGAGGAACTGCCAGGCCCATGCTGGAGTGCGCATGGGAGGGAGAACCCCCCTACCAGCTGCCCCCTCCCTTCGCCCCTGTTGTCCTGAGAGGCACCTGAGCAGGATGAGGAGGGGGAAGCTGAAGGCATGGGAGCCGAGGTAGTGGAGGGCACGCTGGCCGAGGGGTGGGAGCCGGAGGGCCACCAGCTGCGGGACCACCTGCCAGGGGGCTGAGTAATTGGTGAAGAGGCCGCAGTCCCAGGAGGAGTGGACGCTGAGGAGAGATGGCCAGAGGGTGGGCGGGGTCAGGGCCCTGGGTGAGGAGCTGCTTGCTCGCCAGCCTCCCGCCCCTCTGCTCCCTCACCTGCTGACCACATAGCCCAGGGGCACAGTGGCCAGGAGCAGGCCCAGGATGAGCACCAGCTGGAAGAAGAAGGTGGAGCTGGAGGCGCGGAATCGCCGAAGGGATGCCGTGGAGTTCCGCAGGAGGGTGTACTGGGAGCAAACAACAACAAGGGGGGGGTGAGCCCCGTTTGCAGATGCCAGGAGTCTGAGGCCCCCGGAGGTGACGGGGGTGGGGGGGGGCGGTGTGAGGCAGGATGTAAGCCCCGCTCTGCTGACAGGTGCACCCCCTGCTCCCTCCCAACCCATGAGCTACCTTCTTGATGTAGAAGGTGAGGAAGATGAAAGCACTGTTGAGCAGTGGCAGCAGAGGGCAGTAGAAGAGGCCCATCCAGGTGACCGTCTGCCCCGCCACAATGTCCAGCACGTTCTTGGGCACCAGGAACTCCTCCCGGCCCAGCCAGGCCCAGAACGGGCCCGAGAATCGCTCCACCAACAGCCTGGGAGAGGGGAGTGTCCAGGTACCCACCACCCGGGAGAAGTGTGTGGACCACGCCAGTCACGGTCACGGACCATCACACACTCACTTGCCGGACGCACACATGTGTAGAACTGCTCACCCTTGGCTGTGACCACTGGCCATCCCCTGACATGCCCAGGCCACCCCCATTCTCCCTGTGGTGTCCCCACATGGCTCACCTCCTAGGTAGGGTGACAAGGAAGGCAAAGGCCACCGTGAGGAGAAAGTTGAAGATGCTCAGCTTGTACAGCTCCTCCCCCACCGAGTTCTCCCAGCACTGGGGCAGAGGAGGGACCTGTCACCACCCACCGTCCCCAGCTGCCCCTCACCTGCCCGTTGTGGGGTCTCTGTGGTACAGGAGCCTTGCCTGCAGTCTGACATGATTGCTAAGTTAAAACCTGTGCCTCGAGGATAACATTTGGGTAGGGAAACTGCCACCCTGCACGGCATCTCGTGTGATGTGAGTGGCGCCTCCTGGAGGTGTGCTGCTGGCTGGGCAGCTCTGCCCACAGGCTCTCAGCAAGGACAGACCCAGAGAGGGACAAGGAGATCAAAGAGCTGGGGCTTTGTGGAGAGGAACAGGAGGGACAGCCCTGATGGTCACCTGGTAGTCGCAGGCGTCGTAGCCGTAGGACTTGCAGCTGGTCTTGTTTCTGCCGATGCACAGCACGGTCTGGCCCAGCGAGAAGGAGAACATTCCCAGGCTGGCCAGCTTCAGCACCACGCACCTGGGGGGTGGGGACTGTGTCAGGGGGCAGAGTCCAGGGACACGGGCACACTCTACCCAGGATCCAGGTGTGCTGATATCTGCCTGAGAGCATGTCTCTCCTGGGCCCAGGCCCCTCCAAATCCAGAGTGCACCCTCCTTCCAGCCTGCTTCATCTGTGGCAATGTTTCCCAAAGTGTGTTCCCTAGAATTCCAGTCTCCAGATGATTCATGGGAAAAGTGTTCTCTTTTAAAGTCAGTTTGGGAAACACTGCACAGTTCAGCCGGCCTCAGCCCACACCTGGCCTGTTGACTCACAGGCATATACGGGCCTTCAGTTTCCTAATTGCAGGTGACGTCTCTTTCTTCCACCACCTGTTCATACCCTAGTCCACTCACGCTGCCTCCTGAATCACACATCGTGCACACGTACTCCTGGTTAATGCATAACCGGGTTGTGCAGGCAGGACGGCCTAACCCGGAGCCATCGCGTGCACATTATATCCAAGCGTGGACTTTGAGTGCTGCCGCGTGGCAGGAGTCCGGCGGGGAACGGCGGTTCTTGTGTTGAGGGAGGCTGGGACAGGGGTGGTAGCGGCTTATTTTTTATCTCTCATCCTTTTGAGCACTTTAAGTTTTTTACCATGTGCTTGTGCTATTAACTATTCAAAAAACAGGTTCAAACCAAGCACGGTCAACCTTGGAGGAAGGCTGCAGGGGCTCCAGACAGCTCCTGCTCCAGGGAAGCAGAAGGAAAGCAGACAGAGCCGAAGGCGGGGGCGGCAGATGGAGAGAGAAGCTGGTGCAGCTCAGTGGGGGGCTCAAAGAGGGGCTGGGGGGTCCAAGGGGGGACCTTAGTCCTGAGGGGGGAGGCAGAGCCGAGCACGGGGCAGAGGAGAGCTCGCCTTTGAACCTGCACCCAGGAGGCATGAGGAGATTGACCTTGGCCAAGGCACTTTGTCCCTGCAAACCTCAGTTTCCTCATCGGTCCGATGGGGATGAGGATGGTGCTGACTTCACAGCTCACATGAGGGTTGTCAGATAAGGGGTGTAAACCCTCAGGCCCTCCCTGCCTTCCTCTCCCTCCAGACGATGTCCCACCTCTCAGTCTCAAGGGGCACACTCACCACATAAGGGTGAGGTTGACCTCAGTGTTGGGAGAGTAGTTTTCCAGCTGGACCAGGAAAACAAACAGCAGGGGACCCAGAAAGTTGACCAGGGCAATGACCCCAGGGGGCAGGTACTGGAGTAGCACAAACAGGGACTCCTGTGGGGAAAAGCAAGGAAGGAGGTGCCGATGCTGGAGGGGCCCCACCAGCTCCCCGATCCCCTACGAGCCCCTCAAGTGTAACTCTGGGACAGGCCCAGCATCCAGAAGCCCACGGGCTATTCCCAGTGGCAGCATGGCTGTCAGGGGCATGTCCACAGGGAGAGCCGGTCTGATCTGGCCGTGACAAATTGCTTTAACCTCTCTGAGCCTCAGTTTCCTCATCTCCAAGGTGGG